ATCCAAATCAACAACATATACATCAACAATCACAACAGCCACACCAACAACACCAACACCAACATCCATTATCATCATCATCATCTAATATTGTACAACAACAGCTTCAATTAACAGCACGTAGTTCAAGTATACAAAATTTAGTACCGTAAGTGTATAAAATGCATACAAAAAAAAAATTTAAATTGTTGACGCCAAAAAAAAAAAAAAATTAATCATAAAAAAAACTGGAACACAAACGCCATCTATTGATTCGTAATGGTATTTTTTGGGAATTTTTTTTTTTTATTTATTTTCATAACCCAAAAATCTAATAGACATCAATCATCATTTCTTTCTTCCAGTATAACTTTGTTTTTTTTTTCTTTCCATAAAAAGTAAAATATGATGATGATGATGATGATAATCATAAACCTGAAATGTGTTCGTGTACACTATACACCACTGTGTGTATGCGTAGGTTTCTGGAACAGCCTAAAAAACAATAAAAAATGAAAAATTCTCCTTTTGTGTGTCTGTGTGTGTGTATGTCAGTCATTCTATCATTAGACCAAGAATAAAAATGAACTGAAAAACTGTATCAAGTTAAATGACGTTTTTTATGTGATGTGCATGTGTGTGTGTGCGTACCACCTCATCAGGTTTCAGGAACACTTGCAACACATCTTAACAGTGAAACAAAAAAAAAATTATTATTATTATGAAACAAGAATAAAGAATAAAGAATAAAACTAACTTTGGATGTTTAGAATAAAAATTTTTTTTCTTCACTGTTTCTCTTTCTTTGACGACAAACTTTTTTTTTATCATGTTTTTCTGTGTGTATGTTATATAGATGGATGGATAGATAGATAGATAGATAGATAGATAGATAGATAGTAATCAGCATTGTATGTAGGATTCTTTGGCTGAATTATAAAACAAAAGAAACGAAACGAAACAACAACAAAAAAATCACTCAATATATTCTCAATTCTGGAATTCTGTTATCGGCCATATAATCATCATCATCATCATCATCATAGAGGTTTGTTGTTGTATAGTTTTACTATTTAGATACAAAATATGCGAATCGTTTTGGATTTTTCTTCCTTTTTTTATTTTGTTGTTGTTGTCGTTGTTGTTGTTGTTGTTATATACCAATCATTTGTTCATTGGTGCGTCTAATATGTGCGTTTGTTGGACGAAATAAAATGAAGAAAAAAAAATTGTCATCTTTTTTCGCATACATTCAATGATGGTGGTAGTAGCAGTCGAAATAGTAGATAGTGGTGATGATTTTGGTATTTTCATTAATACAGAGTACAACGGAAGAAGAAGAATTGAAGAATCTATATGGAATCTAAAAATGAAATCAATAGTAGTGGCACACATATTCGTATAACCCGCGGTATTTTTTTTTTACATATATATAAGAGAATTATTATCCAAAAAAAAAGTTATTGCCCGAATTTCTGTTTTTTTTTGCCTGTCTATACTGGTAGATCATTCGGTTGGTCCACGGATCGGTTATTCTAGTTTGTTTGTTTGTTTTTTTCTGTTTTGTTTGATAATAAAATGTTTGCTTTTTTCCATTTCTATTTGCTTAATAATGATGAGAAAAAAAAATTTCGTCTACTTCTTCTTCTTCTGGATGTGTGTATATAATATTTTGATTTTCATCAACAACAACAACAACAACACACACGCACTGACACTTTATTGAATTTGATGTTTCGGTTATTATATATTTTTTTTTGTTGTTGCAATTCCCGTTTTATGTGAGTAAATGTGTTAAGATTATTGTGTGTGTATGGATTCACATCATTCAAATCAACGAACAAACAAACAAACAAACAAACGGGAGAGAGATATTGTTTATTTTGTTGATTTTTTTTGTTGTTGAAAATTTAAATTCTGTGATTCACATTCATTCATTTTTTGTCGATTCCTTCTCTCTCTCTCTCTCTCTCTCTCTCTCTGTGTGTGTGTGTGTGTTTTTTTGATTTTTCAATTCTTTCTGGTCCACAGAATTTGGAACAACAACAACAACAACAATAATTATCAATTGCAAGATTCAAATTATTGATTTTCTGGATCATCATCATTATCATCAGAATGATGAAAAAAAAATCTTCAACTTTGACATTTTTGTTTCCATCATCATCATAAGCAGCAGCAGTAGCAAAATGAAGTTTACTTGAATTGAGTGTTTTCTCTCTCGCTCTCACCACTCTCATACAAAGATCGAATGAAATATACAAATAAATATTATTTATGCACATTCACTTAATACTATGAAGAATATGGAGAATTAATGGAAAAATGAACAGAAAAAAAACTAAACTAAACCGAACTAAACCAAACTCTGGTAATTCATCCAGACATCATTATTGAAAAATTGAAAATAGAATCTGATTTTTTGATGAATTCAATTGATCATGGTGATGATTTTTTTTCTTTTGGAAGAAATTCGAATCTAAACCTTACACTAATGATTGATGATTGATCGTATTTAATCGATTGATCGATTGATTGTTTGCAGAGAAAAAAAAGAGCAAGAATATTTTTGACTACAAAAATGAAGCAAGAAAAGAATTTTTTTTCTCTCTTTTTCTCTCTTTGAATAATTGGCATAAAGAAGAGATTTGTTTGCTTTTGGAATTTAGAAAACACTTTTGAATGCAAGCAATTAACAATCGAATGATTCTTGTCCAACAAAACAACAATAACAACAACAACAACAATGGCGAATTCAATGTCAAAAGAACAATATACGAATCGTAACTAGAATCATCAGGAATAATTGAAAAGAATCCATCATTACGATACGATCTATTATGGACTATTGAACAAGAAAAACCTGCAAATAGAAATTGATGGCCAATTCAAATGGCAGCACAACTGAACAGAAAAAAAATGGAATTTCCAGTGATTTCATCCCATTAAAAACTTGAAAAATTTCAAAGAATATTCTTGCTGAGAACTTTTTGGGTTTTCTATTCAACCGAATAAAAAAAATTCCTGAATTATCACATCCACGCTATAAAAAAAAATAAAATAGATCGTTTATCATTTTATTGAACAAAAGAAGAAAATTACAGTGATACGTGAATGCTTGAATGGGCGTATAAGAAAATTTTTCAAAAAAAAGCAATGAAAATTCAATGAATCAGAATCGTCGTCGTCATGATAATAAACTGGTTTACTTGGGAAAAAAATAAAATAAAGAAAAAAGATAAACAAACTTCGTGTGGTGAGATTAAATGTCATGACCATAATCATCATCATCATCAATAATGATAATGATATAATGACAATGACAACAAATCTTACAAAACCCACCAAATTCTTATTTAATAAATTTATTCTGTAAACTGCTTCGTAAACATTCCATAATCATCATCATCATCATCATCATCCACATTTTGCCATTGTCTTAGTGATTATCATTCTTATTCTGGTGTGTGTGTGTGTGTGTTTATGTGTTTATTATCGTCAAAGTGGCAGTTCATATATACAGAATTCTATTATTAAAAAAAATATTTTTCATCGTTTTAAAAAAAAAAAAATGATCCTCATCATCTGCAATAATTTCAATTTTTTTTTGCAAACTTTCACTTTTATACAACAAATGTTGAAAGATTCTTCATTCTTCTTTATTCTTTTTTATTATCTTGTGTCGCTGTATATGATATATATGAATGACAAATGATGCCTGATGATGATGATGATGATGACAAACAGAGAGACAAACATGAACAAGATTCTCAAGAACATTTCTTGTTGTTGTTGTTATTACACACATGATCATCATCATGATGATGATTATACGAAATCAAATCGGATGAATATAAAAAATCCAAAAAGAAAAAAAATTTTACAACAACAGCAACAATGTTGTTGTTATTCTAATGCCAAAAATCGAGGCCAAGAGCAGCAAAACAACAACAACAACAACAACAAAACAACAACAACAACGAAAAAACAGTGAATGAATACGATTCGATTCTTGTAAAAAAAAAAAAAAAAAATTCATGTTCGATTTTGTTGTTGTTGTTGTATGTCTTGATGTCTGGTGTGTCAGTGAAAAAAAAAAAAATTCTTTTCATTATTCGACCCGTTCATTCATTCATTCAGAATTCATTTATTCATTTGATTCATCGTGTTTGTTGTTGTTGTTGTTTTTTTTGTGCAGCAAAAATATTCTGTGCATCAAAAAAAAATTGAAAATTTAAAAAAAAAATTCTAAACATTCTCCCATCACACACACACACACACACACATACATTAGTCATGAGAACATTTTATTCTTCTCAATGATAACGATTCTGATTGTGTGTCTCTGTGTGTGTTGTTGATGATGATGATGATGATTCTTCAACTGTTGAACCATTGAATCATTGAAATTTTTTTTTCAAAATGAAACGAACAAAAAAAAAATTTCGTCCAAAATCATCATCAACCATTGAAATCTGTCCAATTTGATTAAAAACAGAAATTCATTTCCTTTTTTTATGAAATTTCCGGTCTCCATAAACAGAACAAATAAACAAACAGACCATGTGTCATGTTCAGTTCATTTCCGATGTTTACCTGCTGTTGTTCCATCATCATCATCATCATATTTGATTTGATATCGAAAAAAATTTTTTCATTTTAAATTTTAAATTCATTTTTTCTGTTTGATTCACTGCTGATGGAAATTGTTGTTGTTGATTATTTAATGTTGTTGTTTATTATTACATCATCCAAACAACGACGACGACGACGACGAAAAAGAAAAAAACGCCGAAAACATTCTCGTTCATTCTTCATTATCAGTGATGCTAAATGCCAAAAATTTTTTTTTTTTTTCGTTTACATTTTCATTTTTATGAATTTTGATCAAATAACACTTTAAAATATCTCTAAATTCCACAATTTCAATACGTTTACACATTACGATTAATAATGGCACCATTATTTATGATATTCATGATCATTGCAATATTGGTTTTATTCTTAATTTGTCTTTGTAGATCGATACCAAAATCAGCACAAGATGATTCTGGTGGTGTTGGTGGTATTGGCGGTGGTGCCAGTGGTGGTATGGGTATTGGTGGCTTGGGTGGTATGGCCGGTGATTATGATCCATATCATCATCCTGGTGGATTACAATATCATGAAGATAATGAATTATTAGCTGGTTGTGAACAACAACAAGATCTATTGCAATTAGCTGGTGGTTTTGGTTCACGTTTTGAGCCATTATTACATAGACATGATCTATGTGAACGTGTTACAATTAATATTAGTGGCTTAGTGTTTGAAACACAGCTTCGTACATTACAACAATTTCCAAATACATTATTGGGTGATCCGGCCAAAAGAATCCGGTAAGTTTATAAAGAATTTTCTTTCGTTCTTTTTTTTCATGCTTACCATATGACACATACACACACACACACAGACACAAACAAATTTGACATTATCAAATTTGGACGGAAATATGAAACAAGAAAAATTCTTGGAATATGATTCTCTCTCTCTCTAGCTCTGTTTCATATTCTTTAGTCACCAAATCTAGAAACTTGACTTTAATTTTAGCTTTCAAACTAAACCAAACACACACACATGACACCAAAAAGAATGAACAACAAAAAAAAATGGAAACCAAATACCAACGAACAAATGAACACAAACAGACAAACAAACAAACAAAAAATTGATGATGCTGAATGCTTGTTAAACTGCAAAAACAATTCTATTTCCATTCTATTATGATTGTGTATAAAGAATCAGCTAGCAGTAAATACAGTGGCCAGAAAACAAAAACAAACAAAAATTTAATTATTAAAATGGATTGCCATTTAGATTTCATTTTCTTTTCCATTTTTTTTTGTCGGAAATTTTCCATTTTTTTCATTCTGTTTTGTTTTCGCACAATCAAATTTCTCTTTTTTTTTCTTTTGTCCATGTTCATTTCATTCGTATGAGCCATTATTTCACACTAACTGATTGATTGATCAATTGATTTTCGATGATTTTTTTTTTTTTTTTGATTGCACTGAACAAAAATTCAATTCAAATTGATTCAGGCCAGAAAAAAATAGGATCTAGTATACTAAATAATAACCGGAAATAATTTTTTTTTAAATCTTATTTTTATGCAAATTTTCATTGATAATTAATGTTCATCATCATCATCATAAATAACGTTGTTGTAAATTATTCAAGTCAGTAGGCGGTACCAGAATTTTCATTCTAATTCTGTTCATTCATTGTTTTTTTTTTTTTTGAACACTGAATTCCAGCTTGAATTCGTTATATGATACACACGCCTGATATAATAACCATTATTATTATTATCATCATCATCGTCATCGATAATGGCCATTCATTTATTCTGGAGATAAAAAATACACACACACAGAAATTTGATTCTTTACTTGATCATTATTTCAATTAATTAATTACAATATCAAATTCCAACGACGACGAAAAACGATCCAATAGAAAAAAAATCATATTAATAACCAATATTATATGAGGTTATTATTTGGAAAAAAATTTTTTTCAAAAACAAATGGACAAAGCAATAAAATGATCATGATGATGATGATGATGATGATGATGATCATGATGACTGTGAGAATTGAGAATTGAGAATCTAGAAGGCCATAGACTATAAATCATCATCTTTTATTTTTTTTTTTTGCTACTATTCTTGATAGATAATAATTTCATTTGATCGTCAACAACAACAACGAACAACAACAAAAAAATGGTGATCATCATCATCATCAAATTCTATAGATTACAATCCAAATGATAATGTTGATTGCCATTAAAGAATGGGAAATTTCGGAATTTCTTTTTTTTGATTATTATGAATTCTGATTACATTTTCTTTTATTCAATGATTTTTTTTTTCATTCTTAATGTCATCATGGACCAGAATAAGTTATTATTGGATTGGATATATACTCTATTAAAGATCATCATCATCATCATTTGTTTAAAGGTCATAGCAAAACAAAAAAAAAACAAATGCAGTGAATAAGAAACGGAAATAAAATTCAATTAATCAATTGCAGACCAACTGAGACATCTTACTAATGTGCACTGGCAACAAAAAAAAACATTTCAAACACACACACAGACACACGCAGAAAAAAATCAATCTTGTTTACAAACAAATAATTATGGTGATCAATATTGAGTTCCGTGTGTGTGTTACAAACAAAAAACAAACAAAAAAAAAAACAATAATCGTTTGATTCATTTCATTTCAATCGATATAAATGTGTTTGTCTTTCAATTTTGATTCTTTATAATTTAATTTAATTTAAACTTTGCCATTCACATGTATTCGTTCCATAATAATATTCTTCAAAAATTCTGACGAAATTCTGTTATTCTAGAGATGTGAAAAAAGATGGCCAAGATTTTTTTTTTATTGCCCACTTTTTTTTATTGAGTGTTTACATTGAAAAAGTTGACAAACAACAAGACAAGACAAGATTTTTCGATTCGTTTTCTTATTACTTGCATTTTATTTTTTATATTCATTCATTCATTACAAATCAAGTCAACAACAACAATTTAAAAAAAATAAAACATCAAATTCGTTTATAATGATTTTTTGTTGTTGTTGTTGTTGTTGTCGTCGTCGTTGTTGTTGTTGTTGTTGTCCAGCATTTTTTTTTTTATTATGATCATCATCATGGATTCAAATTCCAATCGAATGAAACCAGTCGTTTGTTTCAATCATCAAATTAAACCGGCTCAAAAAATAAACATTCAAACATGGTTTATGACATGAACAAAATAATAATAATAATAACACTGAAAAAATAAAACTTTACAACATTTACTTTTGTTCGATTGTTCCGAATAAATTTCTGATGATGAGTACTTGATTTTCTATTCCAATCTGTGATTCATTCCACCCACGCATACACACAACGATTTGCTCGTTAATTGAAATTGTAAACAACAACAGTACAAAATGAAAAGTTTTTTTTCCCGTACATTACGAATTTCCAATCATCATCATCATCATCATCCACATCTTCATGATCATTGATTGCACAAGAGCAGCAGCAGCAGCAGCAAAAAAATCCCATTTTTTAATTGGCTAAAACCACACACATCATCAGCAGCAGCAGTGGCGAAATTTTTTTTTCTTTTTAGACCAGAAAAAATTTTCTTTACCAGAATCTAATCTGAATCCACTAGAGACCGAGATACACACACATATACACATATGCAATTCATCTTGAGCATATTTCAGCAGTAGCAGAAAGGACAAGAAAAAAAAATTCTGTAGAATAGAAAATGAAAAATAAAAGATTGGAAGGTTGGTCTGTCGGTCTGCAAGTCTGATTCTGAAATATTCATGGTTATAAATTAACCAATTCACAATTGAAGAGATTTTTTTTTGTTGTTATTTTTTCATCAACCAACCATGTAGTGAAACATTGTTCCGTTTTATTCATTAACATTAAGTTTGTTTTTTTTTTTTGTTGTTGATCCAGAAGAATTTATTATTATTCCACAAGAACGACAAAGAAAACAATTTTTCTTTTGTTTTTTTTCCACACACACACACACACACACACACACAATATGATGGATCGATTTCATTTTTTTTTCTTATTATCAATTTAATCAATAAATCGATCAATCAATCAATATGGATACAGAACACACATATGCACTTGGTTACATTACAGAATATTTTAAAAATTAATTAACACATAAAAAAATATATCTCATATATTTATTCATAAAAACTAATTGATTTGTTGTTGTTGTTGTTTTTTTCTCTTATTTTTTCTGAATATCCACTTACTTACTTACTTACAGCTATTATGATCCGCACACAAATGAATATTTTTTCGACCGTAATCGTCAAGTATTTGATGCCATTTTATATTATTATCAATCTGGTGGTCGATTACGTAGACCAGTGAATGTACCATTGGATATATTTGCTGAAGAGGTGAAATTTTTTGAATTAGGCGAAGCAGCATTCAACAAATTTCGTGAAGATGAAGGTTTTGTCAAAGAGAAAGAAAAACCATTGCCAAAAAATGAATTTAAAAGAAAAATATGGCTATTATTTGAATATCCAGAATCATCACAATGGGCACGTGTTGTTGCCATCATATCTGTGGTTATTATCATATTATCAATATTAATATTCTGTTTGGAAACATTGCCAGAATATAAACATTATAAAATATTCAATACAACAACGAATATGACACGTGTTGTAGAAGATGAAGTACCATCATATACGGAACCATTTTTTATCATTGAAACCATTTGTATTATTTGGTTTTCCATAGAAATATTGATCAGATTTTTTGCCTGTCCATCGAAAATAACATTTCTAAAGGTAATCAATATATTGATATTTTTTTGTTGTTGTTTTTAGTAACCAAAAAAAATTTCTCTCGTTATGTAATAAATAGGATATAATGAATGCAATCGATTTTTTTGCCATAGTGCCATATTTTGTAACATTAGCCACAATGATTGCCAAACAACCTGAAGATGATGAATTACAGAAATTACAAATGTTACATGGTAATACTGATTCAAAATCACAATCATCATCATTAGCAATATTAAGAGTAATACGTTTGGTTCGTGTATTTCGTATATTTAAATTATCAAGACATTCAAAAGGATTACAAATATTAGGAATGACATTGAAAGCATCGATGAAAGAATTAGCATTGTTAATATTTTTCCTATTAATCGGTGTTGTCCTATTCAGTTCAGCTGTTTATTATGCTGAAGCTGATAGTGAAAGATCAAATTTTAAATCAATTCCAGATGCATTTTGGTGGGCAGTGGTTACAATGACCACTGTTGGTTATGGTGATATGCGTCCAGTTTGTGTTTGGGGTAAATTTGTTGGTTCATTATGTGCTATAGCCGGTGTATTAACTATTGCATTACCAGTGCCGGTTATTGTATCAAATTTTAATTATTTTTATCATCGTGAAAATGATCAGGAAGACCTAGAATCAACAAATTTTAACCACGTCCGGTGTTGTCCTTATTTACCTGGTTATGTTGGTACAAATCGTTTACGTCGTACATCATATTCTGATTCAAATATAACACATAATAATAATGATGATGATGAAGATGATGATGATGATGATGGTGATATTATTGGTGATATTGATGGTATTAGAATCAATGATAACGATGATGATGATGATGGTGGTAATGATAAAAATAATGATGACGATGACGATGATAATGATCATCATAATAGTGATAATCATCATCATCATCATCATTATACAAGTAAAAATGATTTAATCGATACTGGAAATACAAAACAACAACAACAACAACAATTGAAAAAACCATTTTATCATCGTTCATTATCATCAAAATCAACACAACAATTTCAAGATAATTCAAATGACCAACAACAACAACAACAACCATTATTATTAATGGCTAGTAATACAATAAAAAGTCCATCATCATTATCATCATCATCATTATCGAATCGTTTTCCAACAAAACCAACAATTGCTGAAACTTGTGATTATGAAAAACAATTACAATTAATGATACAACGTACAAATAGTGTACGACATGCCAGTAGTAGTAATAGTAATAGAAGAAGATCTAGTAATCAATCAACAAGTCCATTATCGGCTGCTACATCATCATCAGCTATTGGTACATATCAACAACATCAAAATCATCCATATTCATATTCACCATATCCAACAACAATGTTTCCAACGACAATATCATCACCAATACCAATTACAGCAGCAACAATAGCGACAACAACTGGTGGTGGTGGTATTATAATCGATCCAAATGGATCATCAACATTACGTTCACCAATATCTGAAACTGGTGGTATTAATCTTACACGTACAGCATCATTTCATCGGCAACAATCACAACAACAACAACAACAACAATCATATCGTCGACGATCATCAACACGTAGTCCACAATCAAATTATTCATCACCAGAATCGCCGACAAAAAATAAGCTCAATAATACAAATTTTTTAAATTTAATAACCATATCAAATACATCATCATCATCATCATCATCACCACCATTACTACCACCAGGTTGTCAGGCACCACCAAGTCCATCATTAAGATTACATTATATTGATAATAATCGTAATTTACGGTCACCATCAATTGAAAAAATAATTCCAACAACAACAAAACAATCGATAACATTGACACCGCCACAACCACAACAGCCATCATCAACGGCAACAACAACAACAACAACAACAGCAACAAAATCGGCCAAAAAATCACGTGTATATCTAAAAGCAAAACATACAATGATTAATATAATTGCATTCATGTTTTCAATATTCTTATGACATTTAATAATAATAATAAAATATATCGACAACAACAACTACAGCAACAAACATATCAAATTTGCAAAAAAACATTCGATGATAATTCTCAATACACAATACACACACACATACACACAACACATCGATTTTTTTCTCTTGAAACCAAAAAAAAAATTTTTTTTTCAATCATATAAAAGGACCATATTTTAAAAAATTTCTTTTGTGTGTGTGTTCAGGAGCTTACTCTTTTACAAATACACACACACGACACATACATGCCCGCATGCCCAGCACATATTATAAATCAAATATGATGATGATGATCAAAAAAAAGGAAGAAAAGAATATTCACTGGAAAAAAATACATGAAAGAAATCGGTGAAAATGAATCATTTTTTATCAAGAAAAAAAAATAGCAAATATCGAACCCGTATTAGATGATTTGGTGATATTTTCTTTTCATCATGATGTTTGATGATGATTTTGTTACAGCACAAAAAAACGAATTTCAAAGAAAAAAAAAGACGGCCCAAATGAATAACAAGAACACGAACAATGAAGCAGAATCTACAAAAGAAAAGTGAAGAAAAGAAAATGAATACAGAATGGAATGGAATTCTTGGTAAAAATATCATACCATATTATCGATGGTAGAAAATGTTAGAATTCGTGAATAATGTTAAACATCCACGAACGACGATGACAACATAATATATAAAAATGAAATGGGAACATTAAGATTTACTGTTGTTGTTAAAGAGATACTTGCTGCTTAAACTACTAAATAATACTATAGATCATTTGTAGTGATTGTCATCATCATTGTCGTCAGAAATTTTTTTTCTTCTTCTTCTTTATTTTCGGCGGTTTATTTTTATTTTTTCGATTCTGTTCATTTATTTTCCTTTATCATTGTCGATATCTTCAATTGTTGTTGTTGTTGTTCTTGTTGTCATCGGTTTATATACATGTCCATCTTGAATTATTCATTCATTTGTTGTTGTTGTATGTTTCCGTTGTATTTTTTTTTTTTATTTCATTCTCAGCAATGATGATGACCCTGTGGTTTAGTGGACTATAGTTATGGCTGGCTTTGGTTATCATCATCATCATTATTATTATTGTGTTCATATATTACATATTGTTATTGTTGTTGTTGTTGTTGTTATTATTAGCGTCAATTTAAATGGAAAAACCATTTATTATGATGATGATGATGATCATCATCATCATCATCATTTTGATACAATAATATAAAGGCCATGTTTCTTTTTTTTCTTGTTGCCGCTTGTTGTTTTGGCAATGACCATTTGATGATGATGATGATGGTTTTATCAAACCAAACTGATTATATCGATCAACCAAATGAAATGATAAAAAAAAATACTGATATTTTATAATAAAAGAAATTGTTATTGTTAAAATTTGTTTTTTTTCTTCTTCTTCTCAATCTTTCACTTACCATTATTTTCTGTCTTTTTTCTCTCTCTTTGTATTTACCATTATCAATAATGATGATTGTTGTTGTTGTTGTTGTTGTTATATTTTTTTTCTTGTTCATCAATTTTTTTTGATTTTTCATCATAAATCGATTATCAATGATTGATTATAAAATAATTTAAATGAAAAATAATAAATCAATGAATGTTGTTGAGATAATAATTGCCCAAAAAAAAGAATCAAATCAAATCAAAACAATCAAAAACAAAAAACAAACAAAAAATTCGAATATTGTTCGAGTATACATTCATAAATGACGTATGTGATTTTTCTCTTTTAATTTTTTTTTGTTGCGCATTTTGAAGCAAAGAAAATCAGTGTATGTGCGATTATATATGTATTCTGGAACGTATACGAGTCAAACGCGTTTACACAATTCGTTTTCGATTTTTCTGTATATTTGCGTGTAAGCGATTGCATAATAATAATTTTTAATCTTTGTGGTTAAACAAAAAGATTTGTCGAGAGAGAGATATTTCAACTTTTTTTTTGGTATTGTATCGATATAATTCATATATATGATACCTGATATTATATTCAGGAAATGCCATTGCCATAATGAAATTTTTTTACATTACGCCTGTGATTTTCGAACTAATCATCATTATGAATCATTTTTTGCCAAAAAAACCAAATTTTGTTATCAACCAAATTGAATCATCATCATTTAATGATGTTATTAATAATACTACTACTAATGTGATATCGAACCAGTTGACAAATTTATCGTGGTCATTTTTCGAAAAATTTATTCATCAATTATCATTGGCATATAATGAAACTTGCCACCATTGGTATGATGATAATGATCGATTATTATCGTTGACGGCCACTATCAATATTGAAAAATCATCATATATTGATATGATACCTCATTTACAATTTGCAATTAAAAATGATACAAATTTTACATTTGATGATAATTATCTACTACTTAATCGATTTATTGATTCAATTAATTTCGAAATTTCAAAACGTCCATCGGAACTTTATACAATGTTTCAACCATTATTATTCATAATTATATTGATTATATCGATATTCTACAAATCTTCTTTCATTGCACATAATCTTTATTACTTGGCATTCGAATCGATGGGTATAATAATTTATTTTCCTTTTTTTTTATTTATTAACTAACCAGAATAATAATTTGATTTTTTTTTGTTGTTGTTGTTGATTTTAGTTATCATACTTACCGATGGCCATGATTCTTCAATGTTTGCTTCTTATTACGAATCATTCATTATGTTTTTCATTTTTTGTCTTTCAATCTACATCGCTATTATTGGTTTTTCTTTTTTTAAACAAAAATCTTACAAAATCTGTACCGTTAAAATTGATGATATAATCGATAGTAGTAGTGATATGATCAGCATCGAATCATCATTATATAATCATGATAATGATTATTCGATCTCAACCGAAATGCATGCTGATGGTGAATCTGATCTCGAAATTATGGATAATCAATCACATATGGAAATGGAACACATTTTCGATGAACAGCTATTAATGCGATCAACACCAATACGAGAACTGTTTATCAATCATCGACATCTATTTCCGCCATTATTTGTTCATAATGAATATTATCATCCAATACCAAGTGATTGTTGTTCATCAATATCATCCATATCGAATCTTAATACAACAATTGATTCAAAACAAACAAATGAATCAATCATAAATCGAATTCATTCATCTAATATAGTACGAAAAATGCCATTTAAATCATTAATGGAACAATCATCAAATACACAATCGTTAATTAAAACGGATGTTTCAACCGATCATGATGATGATAATAATATTAATTCGTTTATAATCGTTGATAGTGATGGCGAAATTGATTGAAAAACAAAACAAACAAACACATACAACACAGATATTTTTGATATTTTTATATATAATCATATAAAACAACATTCTCTCTCTCCTTTTATTCATCATTCAGTATTTCACATGGCTACTTTGTTATTTTGATTCAAACTTTGTTTTTTTTAATTATATAATAATTTCAACAGTTTCTTTTTTTTGGATATCAATAAAACAAAACAAATACAAATTTTCCTTTTTATGACATATAAAGGTAGACAACAATTTTTCTGTTTTGAAAGGAATCATTAAAAAAATTACAGGCTTGGAAGTATAATAACCGGGGATGATATATAGGGATCCATCATCATCATCATTATCGATGGCCATGACCAAAATCTACACATAGAAATTCAATTCAATGCAATATTAAGTACCATGGTAAGAAATTGTTCATAGGAAATTTTAATCCAACCATCCATATCGGTATCAAATTGACGAAAAGCATTGGTCAAACTTTGTAGCTGTACACAAAGTTGAATAAAATCATCGAATGTAACGTGACCTGTTGAAAAAATAATAAAAGGAAAAACAAATGGAATGAATAAAAAATTTTTAGTCAAAAAATTCATGCAAAAAAAGGGTAAAACATGCATAGCATAGAGGAGGATATACAGAATCATCGAATGACAAGCAGTATATGAAACAAAATGACGAAAAAAAACATAGAAATTATACAAATGGGGGATTGCTACTGGATTAGTTTCAAGTGGTGGGAAAAAAAAGATGACTGAACAATATATGGATGTGATGATTTTCTAATTCATTTTTCAGGGGTTTTTTTACACAAACGAAGTTCAAAAGTTAGTCATTGGCCACTATATATATATTAAAGATTAGAGACGTTGTTTCGATGAGAAAAAAAAATGTTCCAAACAAAACAAAACAATAATTTCATCGGGAATGAAGGTGAATGAAAAGAGAGAAAAGAAAAAAAGCATTTTAAAAATTTTATCATTCATTTATGATTGTTTGATCAATTTAGAGTGATCGATGCTTACCTTTACCTTCACGATCATAACGTTTCATTAGAATTTGTAGAAAACTATCGGTAAAACGATAGCCAAATGTTGTCAATGCTTGTCGTAATTCGGATGGATCAATATTGCCAGAATTATCACGATCAAATGATCGAAAACAGTTAAGCCAATCGGTTACATAACGCCATAGATGAGAAAATTCTTCGAAATTAATTGAACCAGTTTTATCTTTATCAAACATTGCAATCATCAATCGAACCTGAGATAGAACCATTATTGGAATGAATATTTCAAAGGTCAAAAAAAATCAATCAAATTTATTTACGGTTTCAGGATTGAATGGTTTCCATGTTCCATTGCTTAATGCACCTTGTAATTCATTAGCTGATATTTGACCACTTCTATCTTTATCAACTTTATCAAATACGGAACGTAACCATTCTTGGTTAGGCATCTGATGGGCGTTGGCAGCAGTGTTTGTCATTTTCAATTAAAAATTTGTTTGATTCAAAAACAAAAAAAAAAAAACGTAAAGAAAAAAAATTAATTCAAGTTCAAGCTGTTAGATTGATCGATTGTTGTAATTATAATTTACAAACAACCAGTGATGATGATGATTCACAAACAACAAAAACGTTTATCGCCAAGGCCAATAGACAAAAAAAACGATGCGAAAAGAACGAAAAAAGAAGAAAAAATTCTCAACTCGAACATCAACAACATCGCCGTTCATAGACAACGTTACGGAATATTTTTAAAATTTTCAATTTAAAGATCCAAATGTGAAAATTTTTCAATAAAAAATAAGAATATTCTATTGAATTAGAATTCATGAACAGTTAGAATATTTATTCATTTCAGCAAAATGACATGTTGACACACACACACACCTACATTGTTCTATTAATAGTACGCCCACACACACATTTGAATTGAGATATTCTTTTTGAGAATATTAAAAGAAAAAAAAATTCTTATTCAAAACAAAACTTACATATGGTTGATTCTGTGGATACGATGGATAATGTGGAAGGTTATATTGATTAAATTGTTGCTGTTGTTGTTGTTGTTGTTGTGGATATTGATTATTATAATATGGATTATTATTATAATGATGACGATTATTATTGTTCCAAGACATTTTCGTTGTTGTTGTTGTTGTTTGGATTTCGATAAAAAAAAATGAAATAATGAAGAAATAAATTCGTTTGATCGATAATATTGTTGTTGTTGTTGTTGGTAAAAATCAAAGAAAAAAGAAGAAAAAATCAAGTTCAAACCATAAACAACAGCAGCAGCGATGATTTGGCAAAAAAAAAACAAACAAATAAAAAACAAGAACAGTTGATCGAGCAATAAAAATGGATAAAAATGGAATGTATATGGTAAACAGCAACCAATGATGATTGTTTTCTCTTTTTTTTCTAGAAAAAAATTTTTTTCATTTATAAAAATAACAAAAAAAATGGGCGTTTTATAATGATTTTATCATCGATCGATCGATATATATGTTGATGATGTTGATGATGATGATTACATCACGGTTTTCAATGATGATAATATGAGTCATCATCAGTGGTTTTTTTTTGTCCAAAAAAAAAAAAAAAATTCAATTCTTTGTATATAAACCAATGGATGGCGCATCTGATATATACCACAATATTTTAAGAATTCAAACAACCAATTCATTAAATCAATCGTTGATGAAGACACCGACCATGGGTAACCATCATTGATCGAAAAAGATTGGTTTACCTGCGCGAATTGCAAAAGTTATTCATGAGAATTTTTTTTCTTCTTGTTGTTGTTGTATTAATTAACTGTGTGTATGTGTGGATGATTTGTGAACAAAAATATATTCGATATATAAATCTGATCAACAACAACAACAACAACAAAAATAACGGAATGGATGACAGATTCGAATGAATTATTATTATGATGATCATTATCATCAAGAAATTGAAAAAAAACCATGTTGAAATCAAATCAAAAGATGTGGATAGATTGAGAAAAAACAAAATTCTAAAGAAAGTTTTTGTTTTTGTGTGTGTGTGTGTGAAATTTATTCAATTTTTTTTCTATTAGTAATCTGTTTAGTAATACATTGGAGATTTTTTTTTATAGGAATTTTACTTTCTCATTAAAATTAATTAAAAATTCAATTGATTGATTTATTGATATGTACCATTCCATTTAGCAATAGCACCATTGAATGGTTTAGGTTCCTGTTCACGAATGTATGCAGCAATTTTGGGCATCGATTCAAAACGTTTAATGAAATTTTGTAGATTTTCAAATGGTTCCAAAATTTCCGATGTCAACACTTTATATTTGACCAATAATTCATAGAGACAGAAATCTACATAGCTTAGATTTGTACCGCCGACGAATGGAAGATCGCCAATAAATTTTGACATTAATTCCAATTGATTTGGTAATGTACGAAGATATTCTGGTTTCAATTTTTCACAATTTGGATCATATGAAACACGTGCCATGGCAATGACCATATCGACTGTTTGTTGTTCACAAAGTGATATCCGTATACGGTCTTCTTCAGTTTCACCATCAAGATTATGACGACGTGCCAAATGCCGTAAAATGGCCAATGTTTGGGTCAATTTAATATCACCATCAATATAATATGGTAGATTTGGAAAATCTAAACCAAGTTGAAATTTTTCATTCAACCAATCGGATCGATCAAATGTTGGTGGTTGTCCATAATGATAACGTTTATCGATGAAATCAACACCAACATATGATAATAACATACGAATTGGCTGTGCTAGACCACGAATATCCCAATAACCAACTACTGGTTTTGATGGTTCCATTTTATCTTATCAAAAAAATCTTTAATACTTAATGATTACAAACGAATCCGTCAATGGATAATCATAGAAAAATGACAAAAAAAATAAATAAAACCAAGATAAAAGTGAACAAAAAAAAGCGAACCAAACAATAAAAAAAAAATTGTTAAAGTCACACACACAGTGGAAGCATAGAAAAAGGTGCGTAAGAGGGTTGTAGTTGATGAATAAAAATTCCATTTATCATTTCATTATACTACTACTACAATTTTCATTCACCACTACCATTTCACACACAAACATGAACAAAAAAAAAACAAATTCATAATTCTATTCCACTTCCTCATAAATTTTTTCAAAGAATAATAATAATTTTCAAAATAAAAAATAACAAAAGAATTTATTTTCGAATAAAATAGTAGCGGTATATATAATGAGACATTTTATTAAAAAAAAAAAAATTGTAGTAGCATAGTTATTTGTATAACACACTGGTTGCAATGCAACAATAACAACAATAATAACAACAACAACAACAACAGTAGCAGCAGCAACAGCAACAAAAACTCGCATCAATTGTGAAAGAACAAACGAATAAAATCTGTTGTCATTCTGTCCATCCATCGAATGGAATCGAATCTAAAGCATCGAATAAAAAAATATGTATCCATGTTTTTGTCTTGCTATCTTTTTTTCTCTGTGTTTATTATTATTAAATTTCAATATTTTTATTTTATTGATTTTCAATTGAAAAATTCTTAATGAAACAACAACATTTCAAGACACAATGATACACGTATATTTTATAATGAATTGTTAATCAATGTGTTGCATTGAATCGATCGCTATTGCATCGATATTCATTCATTTATTCATTCATTTTAAAATTGTAGTGGTTGATGATTAGTGATTGGTTTTTTTTCCTACATTTTGTCAGTTAATCACAAATGAAGAATTCCACAATTCAATTGATTGGATTCATCATCATCATTCACCATTGGTCAACAAACATATACATGTGACGCATATATTCAATTCATTTATTATATTATATTATTGATGAAAGAAAAACTGGATAATAAAAGAGAAAAAATTCAGAAGCAAAACAAGAAAAAAAAAGCTTGAAGCAATTAATTAATTCAGAATAATTTTTTATCATCATCATCATCATCAAAGTATTAAATTGACTATATTGATTTTTTGTTTTTGCGAAACTGACAGTATATATAAATAATAATAATTCAGAAAAGCTAAAAGAGCCAAAAGAAAAACCTGTTAGCTCTTGTTTGTTTGTTTGTTTGTTTGCAATTATCATCATCATCATAATACAGAAATTGCAAATAATAATAATGCGAGCCATATGTATCAGCATTGAATTTGAGAATTGATGGTGTTTGCATGAAGAAATAATGAATGAGCAAAGATCATGTGCCTTTATTTTTTTATTTTTTTTTTTTGAATTCCAATTCCAATTACAAATCAAATCAATCATCAATGTTTATAAAATTCTAAAATATTCATCAACCCAGATAAACAAATAATCATTATATCTAAGACATATATACAAAATCGATAAATTGAAATTCAATTTTCAATGTTTAAATCAACATTATTTTCATTTTTTGAATCACCATCATCATTGTCATCATCATCATTCTTTATGATTCAAAAACAAATGTCATGTGAATACAATCGTTATCATCATCATCATAATAGAAAAAGAAAAGTAAAATAAACACACACATATATAAAAAATAAATAATGTTGTCCGCTGATACAAATAACAAATGTATGTTTAGCGTAAAAATTTTTTCATTGATTCATTTTAATAATCTATTTTTTTCCCCTCATTGTTAAAATCCACTTTATAGCATCAGGTCTTTATACATGTCAAACATGTAATTCAATATTCACATGTTTGAATTATTATCAAAAACATCGACAACAACATGCCGAAACGGAAGGTGTAAAGCTATTAACTTGTTCACATTGTACATATGTATCGGATAATGGATTCCATTATAATTGGCATATTATGTCACATGCATCATCACCACCACATCGGTGTGATGTTTGTGCACCTAATAATCAACAATCAACGAATAATGAACAGTTTTTAACATCATCCACATCATCATCATCATCATCAACAACAACGACGACGGCGACGACGATAGCTTCAAATACGACCACGATATTATCATCAACAACATCATCATCATTGACGAATCATCAATTGAATAAAAATTTTACCAATTTTAGTGATTCAAATCATCATATTCATCAAAATAATCATTTATCATATCATCATTTTTCTAATAACGGTTCTTCCATCAATGGTATTGATCAATCATTTATACCGAATCGAATATCCAATACAATCATTTCGAATGATGGAAAATGGTATGATTTGTTTTTCGTTTTTTTTAATTGTTTGTTTGAAAAAAACAGCATTTTATAATGATTTTTTTCCATTTCTAGTCGTTCGATTGCAACTGAAACCGACGATGATCTCATTCTTGAATCACAGCTTTATTCACCGACACCTGTAGATGAATCGCCATGTCCAACATTTTCAATAGTGAAAAATTCATCACCCATTTTGAAAGGAAATAATTTTCCTTTATCTATCAATCGTCATCCTCATGATAATTATGATACTAGACAATTATTTGATTCACATTTACAGCAACAACAACAACAACAACAATCTGATGATCAAGATCAAGATGATAATGCTACAATCATCGATGAAAGTGTTGAGGATGTAGAAGATGAACTGGTTTTAGATAATAGTAATATTCATTGCGATAATGAAAATGGTGATTATGATGATGAAGAAACTGATGAGGAAACCGATGTTGATGAAGAACCAACTCTGCAGTATCAACAACAACAACAACAAGTGTGTGATATGAATGGTGGAATTTTACATCAAACTCAACAACATCAAGACTATTATGGAATTGATGAAAATGTTGATGACAATCATATCGGCGATGAAGAAGAAGATGATGAGGAAGATGATACTGGTGATGGTAATGAAAATGTTATTCATCAAGAACAATTTCATCTACAACAACAACAAGAATTTGATAATAATCATCAACATTTCGATATACAAAATCATCAATTAATTTCGAACGTACATAGTAATGAGCAACATATGATTGTTACGGCTGCTGACAATGATGACCTTAATAATGAAGACGATGATCATCAGCCTGATCTTATTGGTTTCGATGATGATGAAGACGATGATGATGATGATGATGATGATGATGATGATGATGATGATGAAGATGATGAAGACGAGAATGATGAGGAAGCGGGAGAAGAAAATGGTGAAAATATAACCAAAAATAATTGTGATATACAAATGCCACAAACTCAAACACAGCAGCGTCAACAGGTTTCTGCTGATATTTATGATTTTAATAGTGATGAAGATTTGGATCAACAACATCCACCACAGCTCAATATTTCGTCTAAATCTTTTAATTTATCATCTTCAAATCAGCATCAACAATTACCAAATTTATCTCATCATCATCAGCATCAATTGCAGCCCGAACGATTTTTAAATCAAGCTCAACCACATCATCTTCAGCACCATCATCAATCCATTGCACAAGGTCTTCCTATACAAATTCCCAATTCGAATGCTAATGGAAATCAGCAACAACAGCCTCAACCTATTCATCACAATTCAAATGCACAATCATCGCATAACCAGACTCATTCAGGTCAATCATTACCTACAGCGGCGTTCACAATAGCTCATCCGAATTTTTTATTTCCAAATGCTGCTGGTGCTGCAGTCACTACTGGTCAATTATTAGCGGCAGGTCCTCATCCACAAACTAATCCAACAATTGCGGCTACAGCTGCAGCAGCGTCAACGAATCCACAAGGTGCTGCTGCAATATTTAATCCTAATGCGACATTTACAACCGCTAATGGTCAGATGGTTCAATTAGTTTCTTTACAGCCATTTGCACATCGAACGGGAAATCCCGGACAAACAGCAACTCCATTTTTACAATCTGCTCAAACGAATGGTGGTACTCAAATCAATAATGGATTACCAGGCCTCTCCAGAGTACCATCATCAGCTCAAAATAAAATCGTGCATTCGCAGCTGCCATCAACAAAGACTTCTAAAAATCAACAAGTTCCATCAGGATTGGGGGTAGCCAAAAAAACGCAGAAATCAATTAAGCCTCATTCATCTTCTTCCGCCTCAAATAACACGAATATCGCAGTGTCAAGGTTTGTTTCTAAAAAGAAGATTTGCATTTATTAACATGATCGATTTTTTCCTTTCACTTCTTAGCCCAAATGGCTCATTATCTCCAACAGAATTAGCGAATACCCTCGGTAGTGCCATCACCAAAATTATTAGCCCCAGTGATTATAAACCGATGAAAGGAAAAGGAAAAGGAAATCGAAAACCAAGAATATCATTCATTTCTGTAGTCAATGGTATAACGCTTGGTTCCGATGGTATTCGTAGAAAATTTCATTGTTCACATTGTGGTAACGGTAAGTCATTTGCCACCAATTATTATTATATTATTTATTCACCTTTGTTTCTGAACATTAGGTAAAAGTTTCAAGACGAAATCACATCTTCAACGTCATATGTTAACACATACAGGAGAGAAGCCATATCAATGTCAGGAATGTGGTTCGAAATTCAATCAATCATCATCATTACGTAATCATATTATTGCTATACATACGAAAAGATTTCCACACACCTGTACGGTTTGTGGTAAAGGTTTTTTAATGCCGGCCGTTCTACAGAAACATCTTTCTGCTACTGGCCATCAATCAGAAATTTGATCAATCATAATCGAATATACTGATGGAAATGATTATATTGATAAAACGAAAATTCAAATCACTAATAACTGCGACAACGAAAAAAAAATGCAATAATCATATTCGAAACCAATTGATGAATTGATTGAAAATAAATATGGCCAAATTACTTTTTATGGTTGCCATATTTAATCCCACCCACCAGCAAGAGTGTTTCAAATGAATACTTATAATAGGTCCAGTTTTTTTTCGAACATCATTGCCAAATATTTTTTTAAAAAAAAGCAACATATTGGACCAAAAAAAAAAATGGCATACATGCCATACAATTGAATATTTTTTAAATCAAACATTTACAATATTGAAATTTCCATTTTTTTGTTTTATCAAAAATGAAAATGGTCATTGTTTTTATATGAAATCACAATCATTTATCGCATTCTTCCTCTCTCTCTCTCTCTCATTTGCTCGCTCTGTAAAATAATTTACATCAACTTTTTTTTTATCGAAAAAAAAACAAATGAGAAACAAGAATCTTGTTCTGGTTCTCATTTTCATATATATCCATATTATTATTATTATTGATTTTATCATTTGAACGATGATGAAAAAAAAATCTCAAAGATTTATTCATGACTGAAAATAATTTTTTATTATTATTATATTGATGATGAAAGTTTTTAAATAATGATGATAATTCAATAATTCAATTCAATAATAAAATTATTTTTGTACATCAGAAAAAAAATTTGTTTGTTTGTTTTTTGCTTGCTGGTTTGTTTGTTTGTTTGGTGGTGATATCTTGGTTTTTCAGATAGAATTCACATTTTTGAAAACAGAGATAAAAAAAAATAATGGAAAACGGTTACTGATGATGGTCATCAATAATTTCAAATGTGATCATGATGATTTTTTTTTTGATGTTTGTTTGTCATATATATAATTTGTATCTTCAATGAATGATTTGGATCTCGAGAAAAAAAAGTTATAAATAAAATGATGATGATGATGATTGATCAAGAATGATGAACGAAATTTTTTTTCGAAAAAATGGTGATGATGAGTGTTATGGAAAAATGGTTTTTTTTTGTTCATTTCAAAACATTAAATTGACGTGTATATGTGTATGTATGCGTGTAATTGTCAAAGTTCAAAAAAAAAAACAAAATTTAAAAAAAAACAACAAATTCAAATTCAGACTTATGAAATGGCAATTAAACTAAAAAAAAAAGTTGTTGGTAGTTGAAAGGAAAATGGTTGAATTACAAAACAAGAAGAATTAGTTAATGACACACACACACACACACAGAGAGAGAGAAAGAGAAAATGTTTTGTTGGATTCTACATTCTGACAAATTGGTGATTTTCTTGTTGATCCAAATGGCCAATTATCATTGATAAAAAAAACACATTATTGCCAACATTTTAAACATGATTATAAATGGCAATGACAAATTGCAATGAATAATTCTGGATAAAAAATCACCACGTTTATGATGATGAGCTCTTATATAAGCTCATTGCGTGTGCAAAAAAAAAAAATTCAAATCTCTTTTGACAGTTTTCATCACATCAATTGATTCACAAATTTTTGTATTTAGTAAATTTTGGAAAAAAAAAATGTTTTTATCGAAGAGTTTTTTAGCTGGAAAAAAATTTCTTCTTTCTTTTTTTTTGATTGATGATCTAAGCGATGAGGAGAAAAAATTGATTTGATTCGATAGGGCAGATTTCGATGAATGTCACACACACACACACAAAAAAAAAACATTTGTAGATTTGTAGACAACAACAACAAAAAAAAAACTGTACTTTTGGTCTGTGTGTGTGGTGTGTGTGTACGTGCAAATATAAAGTTTCAAAAAAAATGATACTAAATTGATTTGAATTCATGCAAAAAAAAAAAAAAATAATTATGCAACTTTGAATGATAAATTTGATTGCTAATTTCTACAAGTATTTTGGCTATTTAGAAGAAAAAAAATTGACAAATTCAAGTGAGTGTTTGTATATGTTTGTATTTTGATCACTATGGTTTCTGGGTTCAATCACATTTTGTTGTCAATTGATTAGCGGGATTTGATAAATTATTGAAAAAAATTGGGTCGATTTGTTAGTTTCCGTGTTTGTGATGTGTGTGTGTGTGTGTGTTATATGAGTTTTTTGCAGTGGATGATTAATTTTCATCTTTTGTTCACATACAACAATTCATTGTGATAAAAGATGGATGTAATCGATATGAAATCAATCACCATCAGTATCTGATTGATCACTTTCTTCAAATTTTGTTAAATTTACATTTTCCAATAGACCTTTCCACATTGCATATTCAAGTACGGCTAAACAACAGAATACATATTGATCGGGCATCTGAATACTATAGGCACGTTGTAGACGAATTTTTTCAACAGTTTTTTTAATATCAATACGATTACGATCATCTAGTCGTTGTATGCTGATATCAATAGTGATAAATGTGCCTATATAAAGAAAAAAAAATAGAAAATGAGAACAATGAACAAAAAAAATACGAAATAAAATATTTATTGATCGATCGAAAAATATAGGGGTGATGACAACAACACACACAAAAAAAGTCATCACACACATATCAATCAATCAAATTCTATCATCAACAAAACAATCGACAACAACAACAACAAAAAAAAAACATACCAGTTCGACCAATGCCCGCACTACAATGGACAACAATTGGTGGTCCTAAAGGATGGCCTTTCCAATCAATCGTTTTTAGATATTGTTTCTGATAATCTCGAACTTTTTGTCGAAATTCGAGCATTGCAATGGCTGATTGTGGAACACCTGTTGTTTTTATTGATTGATTGAGAGAATTTAAAAAAAAAATAATTTTTTTCCTTTTTATTAAAAAAAAAAAATAAATAAATAACGAACCAAAATCAGGCCAACTAGTAAATTGCATATGAACAATAGTACGACGTTCATTCGTATCAGTATTGACCAATGTTAGATTGGATATCATCCAATCTTTATCCTGATCAACATGATTATTGATGATAAGAAAATTACCAAATTTCAATGTTGCTTTCTCATCTAATGGCCAATATTGGCCACATTTGGCACGACATCTTTCCATTGTTCGTGTAGTCATTACAATCACAATTGTTTTATTATACCAAATACATCTCCAAAAATCGACAAATGTTTTTGTCAATGGACCTTTTTTCAGGAAATGATTGGAAAACATATTAATATATGATAAATATTAAAATTGGATTCAATTACCTTGTGTTGAAATGAAAGCTCGTTTCTGTCGATAACCATCAACATAATTGGCATTAATATAATCAGAATTAGGATCATTATCAATCATTGGTAATCGTACACGGCTATGATCATAGCTCAATACATCAACATAACGATTTTTCTGTTGATTAGCTTTATTACGTGCCGTATCAAATGTACCGGTAGGTGGTGTCATTTTTATTTCATTATATTCATCAAACATTCCTTTACGTTTTTTTTGATTAAGATGTTGTAGAAATTCTTCTAATGTAATGCCTTCAATATCATCATCAATTTCTTCATATATTTCTAAAAATGATTCAATTTCATTTGGTTGACCAATCGGTGATGGACCATTATCAACATCAACATTGTTATTATTATTATTATAATTAACATTATTATTATTCATAATAGTCTGTAATGTTGTCATATTATTACAACCATTAATTAATGGTGAAGGAAATGATGTTGTTGTTGTCGTTATATCTGAATTATTATTATTATTACTATTCACAGAATGGTTATCATTGTTTAGAAAATTATTCATAAATGAATGTTTGGCCAATGTTGATGATAATATTGTTGTTGATGATGATGATGATGATGATGATGATGATGATGAGGATGTTGATGAAAATGTATTATTTTTCATTGTACCAATTGGTGAATTATTCAATGATGATACATTCGATGATGGTGGTGTTGGAAACAATGTTTTATCCGATGGTAATGATGGACATAGATCACCCATATCATTTTTATGTATCTGTAAACAATGTTCTAACCATTGTTGATGATTAATTTGATATGTACCACCGAGATCTATTGGTATTAATTCTGTTGTTATATGTAATGATAATTGCGATAAATTAATCATATGTACACGATCTCTTAATTTATCTCGTATGAAAAATTGTAATATTCGAAACGGTGTTTTAAACCACATTGGTGCCGATAATATTAAAACTTTTTTCAATCTTCCTGGATATGCACCTTTTAATAGATTTAAAATTTTATGACTTAGTTCATAATCAAAATTATTATATTTTGATCCAATCATATTATAAATAAATATGATTCCGGATTTTTGTGCTTGAACATCGTCTAATGCAACATCCAATTGATAGACGACACCTTGTAATGTTGTTTGATGTGTCGTTTCCTGTGGTATATGTTTGCCAGCGGAAAACATTGCAATCATTGAACCAGTCCTATCCGGTTTTGGCTTTAATACATACATAAATACACAGAGAGACACAGAGAGAGAGAGAGAAAACACCAAAATCACAATCAATGACAATAATGAATGACAACGAAATGTGTATATATATTTTCAAAAACGAGGACAGCACATGTGGATAAAAGAAAAAGTGAAATGAAATGAAATTGATTGATAGTTGAATGAATATAAACATTATATCTATATATACTTACAAGTATTGTAAATTTTCCCGTTTCCAATTCATGTTTTAACGGATCCTTTAATGGATCAAATTTTACTAATCCTTCACGAAATCTTATCGTTTCATGTGATTTATATAACATTAATGAACGATCTAGATCAAATTTACGTGCCATTAAAAATTTACATGCTGTACGTGCACGCATTAATGGTTCATTATTCTGTATACGTGATCTATTGACCGCTTGAAGAAAATTATTTAATATCTGAAAAAAATAGTAAACAAAAAAATTTAAAAAAATTTTCATTTTCATATAAATATTGCACTTTATCAGCTGACTCATGGATTGGCCGAAAATGATAAAATATAAAAAAAAAGAAGAAAATTCTTTCGACACACACACACATCATGATAATCATCTATTTTCACTTTCATGCAGTGGTATTCAGGTACAGGTATTACCAAATACCATTATTTATCATTTTTACGGTTCTAATCTACTTTTAAATGATTTGAATGATGAAAAAAAAACAATAATCGATAATAACAATAACAAAGCAGTAGGTATAAGTGGTTACAATGTTTATTACAAAAATCATCATATTTCTTGAATCAAATTTTTCTGATGAAATCTACTAAAGAAACCAGAAAACGTATTGTAAGTGAAAAAACAAAAACTGGTAAAAACAAGATACAACTAGCTATATAATAACTACTCAAAATTGAAACAACTACACTACTGCATACATACAGAGGTAAAGATAATATATATATATTGAAAAAAACCAGAATAGGTATTTTTTGCAAAACAAAAACGACTAAAAATGAATAAATGCAAACCTTTTCTTGTTCCGGTGTAATTATATCAGGTAAAACATCCATGATAATGATGATGGCAAATTATTATATTATTATTATTATTATCAAACAGTGATTATTATTGGCAATAATTCAATTTTTTTTTTGAATTGGATAAAAAATTCGAAGAAAATGTACTTTTCTTCGTCGTCGTCGTCGTAGTTGTTATCGTTATTGATTGAATGCACTCACTCACTCACTCACATACACAATTTGAATAAATTAAAATTCAACAGAATGGCCAATAAGATTTCCGTTGACAAATCAAAAACAATATATATTGGTTAATGTTGATTGGCTATATAATACAAATGAATATATATGAAATTGACATGTGTAGAAATAATAAGAAAAAAAAGGTAGATCGATATTTAAAAAAAATGATCATTAATTGATTGATTAGAAATTTTTCTTGTCATCATCATTATTATTATGATTGTCGTATATGCTTATTATACAAGTATATGTTGTTTCCATTTTCATTCAGAGTTTTTTTTTTGCTGTTCACCATTAATATCACCATTTCCGTCGTTGTTGTTGTTGTTGTAGTTGTAGTTGTAGAAAAGATTTAATCAATTGATGAATGGCAAAAAATTTCAAATTGAATTGATTTTCAATCATCATTGATCATGCCGGTTTGCCGTATCCTTTGTTGTTGTTGTACTTGTTGTTGGTGATAGAAGCCATAGAATTCTAGAAAAAAATAAAATTAAAGAAAATCAATCAATCAATCATCATATATAATGGATAAAATGTTCACATCTAATCATCATCGATTCAATTATCGATTAGATGATAATAATATTCAAAAAGTGTAAAAAGAAATTTTAGCCAAAAAAAAGAACTACATTATAATTGATCAATGATGGTAAAAGAAAATTTTTTTTCCCATCATTTTTCATCCAAATAATACTGACCACATCAACAACAAAATAACAATCAACAAGTGAAAAAATTAAAATTTTCCAATTTTTTTTTTAAAAACAGGAATACAAAAACGAATTATTATATTATCATCATGTTGCTAAAGCGTGACACACAATGTGCACATTTCAAAATTAAAAAAAAACACATGCCACACATTTTCAAAATATAAAGACATGTAAAGCGTGTGTGTGTGGGTTACATTACAGAACCAACAGCAGCATATTCAATTCAAAAAAATTGAATAAACGTCTTGGATTGATTGTTCAATCAAAATTCATGTAGAAAAATTCGTGTAGGTTGTGTGTGTTTACGTGTGTAAAGGTGTGATTTTTTTTACCATTGTTTTTATAACGAAAAAATTAAAAATAACCACAATAAAGTAAAAAGAATCGACAAAAAAAAATTTTGCTCACACACACACACGCATCGTAAATTCAAGATTCTAAAACATGAGAAAAAAAAACTATCAAATTCTGGATGTGATTACAACACAAATAAATAATCGAAACGGAAATAGCAGCCGATATTGTTGACGTTTTTCAATATTGAATACCATTATAGCATCAAGTCAATGAATGATTTTACACACACACACACACGTGTTACACAATGCTTTAATCATTTTTTTCATTTCTCACTGATTATATAAATGATGATGATGATGAAAACAGTGATGATTGACATATTGAAAAGATTGGAGAAAAATCCACTTATTAAAAAGAAATTGAAAAGGAAAAAAAATGATAACGATGACAAATTGATGATGATTATTGAAAATCAAGTGTATTTCAGATTCATGAGAAAAATTGAAAGATAATGATGATGATGACAACAATCTAATATATATGAGTAACGAAAAGGGGAAAAACATTCGATGAAAAATTCTAGAGAAAAAATCAGTCATAAACACAAGTAAAAGCAGTAATAAGAAAAAAAAGGAATGAACAATTTACATGGAATTTGTCTTACACAAACAATACAATACAATACAATCATCATGACAGACGAAATGACTAAAGCTAACTCTACCAGATAATAATATAAAATTGAAAGGACAATATAAAGGGGCTACACACCAAAGGATGCAATATATTTCTAAATGAAGACAAAAAAAAAAAATCAGGTATTTTAATATAATAGTATATAGTATATAAAAAACACACATACCACAGACACTGGTGTACAATGAAATTCAATGCTCATTGTTGTTGTCGATGATGATGATGGTCATCATCATCTTCATAAATGGAAACCCACCACCACAACAACCACTTTCATCATCATCAACGATGACGATGATTTCATATTTCAATTGAATTTTGACTATTTACGATATTATGATTTGATGAATTGTTTTCTTATTCTTTTAGCTTTGATATAATCGTGGCCTTGATTGATTTAATATATATTACATAAACAGGGGTATATTATAATGATTGCCATTTTAAAATTTAAAAAATGAATGAATGAATGATAAACAGTTAAAAAAAAAAAAAAAAAAAATGCCTTACCAAAACTACAAAAAATGATAATTATCGATAGTATCGATATATATATGATTCAAATGCAAAGAAAGTGAACATGTGTGTGTGTGTTTGTGATGATTATCACTGTGATTAACAAGAAGGAAAAAAAATAAAAATTGAATTTTTTTTTCAAAATTAAATAATAAAAAAAGAAAAAAAAAATTACACAAACATCTGAAATCAATTCCAGTGAAATGAAATGATACAATGTTTTTATTTTTCTACTGATGTTCTTTTTTTTTTTTCATGATGATGGCCAAATAACAACGGTTTATATACAAGAGAAAGAGATAAAGAAAACAAGCACTTGTTCAATGAAATTCTTCAAAAAAAAAAAAAAAAAAAAAAATTCAATCATCATCATTATCAACAAATGAAGATGATTGAAATTCTCAAGAAAACTTTTTTACATTTGAAGGTTATTGTTTGTATTTGATCTGTATGTGTGTTTGAGTGTGATCATCAATAGATAATCGATAGTAATTCTAGGAAAAATTTATTTATGTTTACTGTATAATATCTTTTCATCATCTTCAATGATAAGTTATGATTTTCATTCAAATATATAAATGATTATTATCATCATCTGATCAAAGTTAACGGATTAGATTTTTCTTTTTTTTTTAAAAAAAAGAAACCAAAATCAAGATTAAAAAATAAAAAAAAAAAATGATCAATTTAATTGGAAATCAAATACAATGACAATCAAGAATTATATGGATCAGAAGACAAGATAATTACATCATCATGTTCATCAAAATATAACTATTCCACATGCAATAATAACCAGGAAAAGTCAGAATCGTTTCAAAAATAAAACATAGACATTTTTCTTGAGAACTTTGAATCATAATGTTGTTTTTTTTTTTTTCTTCTGTCATTAAACTGATTTTGTTTTTGTTTTTTTGCAATCATTCTAGTCATTAATATTCTGGAAACAAATTTCCAATCTATCATATTAATCAATATAATATATAAATCAGTGTATATGGAATAAAGATCCAAACAAAAAACATCAACAACAACAACAACAACAATGAAACATAGTAGACAGATTACATTGGAAAAAAATGACAATTCATTCTCTCACTCTCTTTAGTCATTTACATTTATTTATTCATAGTTTGAATCAAAAAAAAAATAACAAAATACAACACATTAGACCTCAAGTATTCTGAATTTCAATTCAGATTCAAAGAGATGATGATAGTAGTAGTGGTGGTAATTCTTAAGCATTATATTTTCATTTATACAACAATCCATCATCATCATCATCATCAGGATCCTGATGATTCCAAGGAAATGCAATAAAAATGATTTTAAATGAATGAAAATTTTTTATAGTTTCACTCTGCATATTCATTTTTTTTTGTTTTGTTTTCATTGAGACGAAAACTTGAGAAAAAAAATGTCCATTTCATAGACAAAAAAAACAAACAACAACACATCTAATGTGCTTTTTCCCTAATGAATACCTATACCTACCTATACAGCCCTCCAACAAAATAATAAGAAAAACTGTTAACTGGAATACTGGTTGTAAATCCGTAGAGTAAAAAAGTAAATTTCCAGAGAACTGTTGTTGTTGTTGTTGTCGTTTGGATTTATGAAAGAATCTATCACGCAATATCAAGAATCATAAATATGATGAATCGAAAAATTTTGCCCATAGCAACTCGATATCGAAGTTATTTTTTTCCAACTGAACATTTAAAAAATTGAAAAATAAATTTCATTTTCAACATCAATGTTTTTGTGTTTGCGTGCAGTTAAGTCTACAGACAAATACACACACACACATAATAATGATGATGATGATGATGATGAAGGAAATTTAGACATGAAAAAGAAAAATTCATTGGAAATTCAAACAAACCAAGAATCGACAACAATAACAACAACAAAAAGATTATTATAATTTGAAATTCAAACCTAAAAAATTACTTCAAAATAAAATTAAATTTCCATGGAAAAATAATTAATTATAAAAGAATTTTTTTTTTACTCAATTCTAGTTTTTTGTTTTCTTTGTATTTTTTTTCATATTCAAATTACTGCCATTCATCAAGAATAAAATTCTAAATTGCAAAAAATGAAAGAAAAGAAGATTATATTCATTATGGAAAATTTTAGACAAAATAGTGAATTTTGTCTTATTTATTATATATATATCATCATATGATTCATTTTCATTTTCTTTTTTTTTCCAATGAAAAATAGAAAAAGATGCTCAACATTGATATCGATATTTGTCGCATAATCCAATGGTATGATGTTACCATATTTTACATGGAATCTCTTCCTCTATCGATCGATTGATATTGTTCATCGTTTCTATAGTTAGTAGTTAAATAAGTAGAAATTATCGAGAAAAAACAAAGTAACAAAAAAAAAAAAAAAAATTTCATGTACGCATTTAGTTTCCATTCCTTGTTGAAATGCATATATTTTTGTTTGTACTATCCTGGAACCAAGAGGTAGCTTTCTCTTTTCTAGATTATGAATTTAATGGAAAATTTTCACTTCATTCAATTCATTCCAATCAAAAGTGTGTGAAATAAAGAGAAAGAAAACATGTACATTGATAAATAGTTACAAATAAATTAAATTCCGTATATATTATGATGATCATGAATGATATGATATGAAATTCTTCAATTAATGATTTATCTATAAATAGTCTCTTTTCATATCATGATGATTCCAACATAATGATGGTCAGCAATTAGAAATTGGACATTTTGTCACAAACGGAATATACACACACACACGGAGAGAAAGAAAGAGAGAATATTGGTTATTACATAATTCAGAATCGGGTTTTGATCGAAAATTCCAAAGAATTCATCAATATTTCTATTTTGTTGTTGTTGTTATCATCATTTTAGATTGGCATGACTCTCAAGAAATTATTCTCATAATTCTATATATATATATACATCGAGAAAAAAAACAAAGAATCTATAGGGATATGGAAAAACCTTTTTCCAAAGAATATTAATTTCACCAATTTTTTTCATGAATAAAAAACAATTTTTCTTATTAATGACGATTATCGAGAATTGTCTAATGATGATAATATTATGTAAAAACAACTTAATTCTTCATCATTGAATAGAATAAGCATTGTGTGTGGCAAGAAATAATCATTGAAACGTTGTCGTCGTCGTCGTCGTCGCCACAATATATGAATAAATATTTTAAAAATATAAAAAACTCAAATTTTAAAGAAAAATTTACACAGAATTCATTCATTCATGAATGATGATAATATATACATGTTTTATGATTGATAATAATAATGGATGGACTTACCATTAGGCTGTATATAAACTGGATGATTCAATCAGGAAGAAAAAACCACAACAACAAGAAAATGCACAAGAAACAATCGATTTCTTCGTCTTATTTGTTGTTTACTTTAAATTTTTTTTTCTTATTATTATTACTACACTTGGAAAAAAGAACGTTTTCATTTCTTTTGTTTCATTTCATTACACAAAATGATGATGATGATGATGATGATGATCACTATTTCGGGCGTTGTTATTTATCATTTTGTTTTTTTTTTTTTGTTTTAGCTTATGAATTGGATTCACAAAAACAAAAAAAAATTGAACGTAAAAAAAACTGATGATTTGTAATGATTTTTTTTCTTTGTATTTTTTTTCTTCGAGAAAATAATAATATTCCAATGATCCACAAATATATTCTTCCACTTCTTCTTCGGGAATGCTCAATACAAACAAACAAACACAAACACACATACACCCACAAAACAAAATACACGGAAATCTAGAATTCTCGAATAGCTCGAAATGGACACACCAAACACACACATATACACACACACACAAAAAGATAAATAGAAAAACAACACGACGACTTCGAATGAATGATTTCGGCAAAAAAAAAAAAAAAAAAAAAGCAGCAGCAGCAACAACACAACACAAACCTGATTTATTCATTTTTTTTTGTTTCTAATCTAGTGGTAGTGGCAGTTGTTATGGTAGTAGTAGTAGTAGTCAACGTATATGTGAAAAGATTCAATATTTTTTTTTTTTTTTTCTTATAAATTCTTTTATCTTTATATATATATACTGCCACTACTACTACTACTACTGGAATTATTGGATATGCCACTTCCCCACCATCATCACACACACACACACCTTTTTTTTGTCATGTGTATTTTTTATTATTATGGTGGTGGCGGTATTTGATTTCAAATACTATTTTTAGAAGAAAAAAATTTTTTTTTTCCTATTTAAATTCATTTCATTTCATTATCGTTCGAAATCTAATCTTGATTTAATGATATATGTGGTAAAAATTAATTAATCAAGATTAAAAATAAAAGATTCGATTTCATTTCATTTTTCAAAAAAAAAAAAACAACAAAAAATCAACAGAAAAGACACAAAAATTATTAATGCATGTAAGACGACGACAACGTAAACGTAAACAATCATCAAAACATCATGATGAGCCAAAATTTTTTGATCCAGAACGTGCATCATATCTACAAGAATTATATGATGAATTCAAGACAACAAAATGTCAAGATGCACGTCGACAAACATTGGCCAATTTGGCAAATTTTGCATATAATCCTGAAAATTATGGCCATCTAATTTCATCAATGTCAATACATTGTTCATTTTTACAATCAATCAATTCAGCTGATGATTTTATTGCCATCATATCGATAAAAGGATTATGTAATATGGCCATGCATCCAATAGTGGCTGAATTGATTGGAAAAAATGAATCATTAATGAAAATATTATCATGTATTGAATGTAGAAAACATTTAATCGATTTTATCATCAATGGATTACTTTTATTAATAATCGTCATCAAAGAAATGAATCAACCAATCGGTAATGGATATACAATTATGATTTGGAATTTATTTTTAACAACAAAAACATTTTTGTTTTCATTTTTATTTTTTTCAGATGAACAGATACGAATTCGATTGAAAACAATGATGACAACAATAAATAATGAAATTGATGATGTTCGTGTTCGAAATTATTGTCATTTGTTGTTAATGGATAATGTTGATGATAATAAATTATGCTAAACGTGGTTTTTTCAAATTAATCACTTTGGATGCAACAATAGCTTTAAATGTGGATAATGTACGTTCACGACTAGATTTAAAATCAATTATAGGTGCTGGATAATTATTTGGGCGAAGATTTGGTTGTTTAAACATATCTTGGTGGATGTTTCGTTTGGTTGGAAAATCAACAAGTTCTGGTAACCATTCACGTACATAGATACCTTGTGGATCAAATTTTTCACCCTGTAACATTGGATTAAATATACGAAAATATGGTACACTATCCGTACCACAGCCGGCAACCCATTGCCAACTGAATGGATTAACAGCTGGATCAGCATCAACAAGACAATCATAGAACCATTCTTCACCATGTTGCCATGGTATTAAAAGATTTTTAACCAAAAATGATGCAACCAACATACGAAGACGATTATGCATCCAACCGGTGGCCCAAAGATTACGCATAGCAGCATCAATAACCGGATAGCCAGTATTACCAGTTTTCCATGCTTTTAAATGATCATCATTAAATTCGGGCCAAAAATTACGATATTTTGGATTTAGTGGTATTTTCGTTAAATCCGGATGATTTCTATAAACATGATAAGCAAATTCACGCCATCCAAGTTCTGCACAGTAACGTTCATTTGATTTTTTAGTATTCAATTGATCATACATTTGTCTGACACTAATTTCACCAAAACGTAAATGTGGTGATAATTTTGATGTACCATCTTCGCAGAAAAAATCTCTTTTATAATCATAATCAGACAATTTTGTTTTCACAAACAATTTAAATCGTTGCTGTGCTGCTTTTTCACCAATTTTCCAATATGGTGTCATTTTATTCCACCAATTAGTATCACCGGTCATCATTGGTAATTCATTATATTCATCAAATTCAATATCAACATGATGATTTTTTCTATTCCATTCAGGATTCGATAATGGTTTTACGGGCGAACAATTGGCACGAATAAATTTCCAAAATGGTGTAAATATTTTAAATTCTTTTGTCATATCTTGTGGTTCGAATATCAAATTAGCCATAAATGATTCATGAATATTAGCCATATCATCTGGTAATTCAAAATCCAATCCATTCGAATAGATTGTTTCAATTTCAATACGATCATTCAGATATTCAAACATTGTTTGAATGTTGGCTGAATCCGATAGATGAAGTAATGTTATCGCCGATTCATTAAGCTGTTGACGAAATAATCGTAAACTTTCACATAGCCACCATTTTGATGCTGAACCTAAACGTTTTTCCATAACGTGGACAATGATTATCGGTTTTTGTCGTCGTGATGCATTATATAATGCTGGATTATCAAATTCACGTAGATCTTTTTGTAGTAATACTAAAGTGGCCATTTGTTTTTTTTTGTTTTCGTTGATACAATACTGATTTCTAATTTTTTTTGTTTTCCAAATCAAAATTCGAAATTCATGCCGAATGTTTGTGAATTATTATTTTAAACAATAACAATCGCAACAGTGGCGCCAACCAGTGTCGATTACTCGCAGTTATAAATTTCGAATTTTTTTTTTTGTTGAAATCAATCAAATCTTACAAAAAGGCCAATGAATTGTATTGGTGATTGTAAAGCTAGTCTCGAATTTTTATTTTATTTTTGTTCGTATTTTTTTTATTTAGAAAACCAAGATCAATAATTTGATAAATGGTTGGCCATCATAAACATCAACGAAATCATTATTCACCGGATCTTGAATCCGGTAGTGTTGGTGGTGGTGGTGGTGGTGGTGTTGGTTATTCAAATTTAGATTCATCAGGTTTTACTGATTCATTTTCACGTGTTTCTATACGTAATGCATTTATTCGTAAAGTTTATGGAATATTGGCAATGCAATTTGCATTCACTACATTGGTTATACTGTTGATTAGATACAAGTGAGTATTATTCAAAGAATATGATCAAAGTCATTGATTTTTTGTTTTCCATTATTGTAGCAAAGATTTCAATGAATATTTTAGTGGCCCAAAAGGAAATATAATCTATATTGCTTCATTGTAAGATCAATGTCAATTTTGTGATTTTTTTTAAACTTTTGATTTACACACACACACACACAGGGTCGGTTATTTAGTCATCTATTTTATATTAATGTGTTGTGAATCATGTCGTCGTACGGTACCAAATAATTATGTTCTACTCACGATATTTGTAAGTTTTCGATTGATTGTTTTTTTTTTGTAAAATTTTAATCATTGTTTTTTCATTTTACCATTCATCCAGACATTTTTCATGAGCATAACACTGGGTTGTGTTTGTTTACAATATGATTCAGATACGGTAATGTATGCAGCCGGTTTAACATTTATCGTTTGTTTATTGGTTTCAATATTCAGCGCTACTACATCGGTAATTACATTGTTATCGTCGTATAATAATAATTCTTAATAATGATGAATATTTTTATTTTCACATCATCATTAGTTTGACTTTACAAAATGGTCATGGATCATGTTTATAGTTTTAATCATATTCTTTGTAGCTGGTATTGCCATGATGTTCATACAGAATCGTACTACACAAATTATTTATGCCGCTATTGGTGTTGTGATTTTTACCATTGTAATTATCTATTGTCGATTATATTTATCATAATTCAATTGAATCTGAATTTTTTTTTCTGATTTTAACAGTATCTAGCAATCGATACACAAGCAATTATGGGTGGACGTGAAATAGAAATATCACCAGAAGAATATATTATGGCCGTCATTCAACTTTATATTAATATTGTCAATCTATTTATTTTGATATTAAGATTGATTTCGCTATCACGAAATTAATAGTATTTTGATGGTGTTGTTCAAATTAAAATCCGTAATAAAAAAAAAAAATTCTTACGTCCTTTATGAACATGCTTGTATGGCAAAGAAACAAAAAAAAATCAATGTTTACGTTGCGCTCGCCCGAATTTTTTTTTATTATGAATTCGACAAAGTAAAACAAAAACTACGACTACGACTACGACTACGACGACGACGATAATTGACGAAATATTCATTCATCATCATCATGCATGTGATTTTTATGTCTTATGAATGATAAAAAAAACCCGTAATAATAATTATATCGTTCAAATAAATAAAAAAAAAGCAAATTGATGCCACAGTTGTGCTGATCGTGGTAGTTGTGGTAGTAGAAGTGAATCCAATGATATATATTTATGATGTTCATGAACTCCTCTTATATTGATGATTGAAAGGAAAAAAAGATCATTTTTCATTATCATTCGGGTATATATCTTATATAAAACGAAGCAATCAAACAACAAAAAACCGTATAACCCGTAGGTGTTTCGATGACGATGCTCCAAGTTTTTGTCATGATTATGATGATGATGACGATGATGTCTATATTTTGTCTTCTCCACTCCTCCTTTTTGATCATGATTTGATTTTTAATTTTTTTCTTTTTCTTGTTTTATCATCATCATCATCATCCAATTGGTATGTCACATCATCATCATCATCATCACTACGCATCGTTCTTCATCGTTTGTTGTCCTTTGTAAAGAAAGAAAGAAAAAAAAACTTAAGAATCCTTTTTTTCCTTCAAATGAAAAATTGATGAGAAAAATTATTTGAAAACAAGCGAAAAAAATCCATTTTAGACATTGAAATTTAAATTTTAAAAAAATTGTTTTCATCATCATCATCGCCATCAGCATCATCATCGTCATCATCGTCATTATTATTTATCCACCAATTCTGAATAAGAATTTCAGGTATTTGATTCATTTGTTTTGGTTTCTGGTTTTTTTTTGTCCTAAACTAACCTATAAGAATTATGACGAAATCTATCTACGTTCTATTTGATGATTTATATGTGATTATTTTTTATTTTGTCCAGTTTTTTTTTCTCTTCTTACATTTGACATTTTCTTTCTTTATTTCTCGTTTCATTCTGTGTTTGTGTGTGTGTGGATGTTTTTTTTTGCTACTTTAATAACAACAACATCGATGACGTCTTTTGTTTCTAAATTCATTTTTTCTTATTTTTTTTCCTTCTAGATTCTGTGGATTTACAAAAAAAAATTTAACGCCCACCGGAAAGTTTATTTTTTTTTTTCGTCTTCACGATATATATATAAAATGTCCACATCAAATTCATCATCAGCAATGACTAGTCAAGCGAATGTTAGTACTATTCGTACATTGGCATTAGAATTTAAAAGGTATGTGTGGGTGTGTGTGTGTTTTCCAAATTCTGGTTTTATTTTTCATTTTCATTTTCATTTTTTTCCCATTGGTTTCAGTTTACAAGAAGAACCAGTAGAAGGATTTCGTGTTAAATTATTAAATGAAGATAATCTTTTCGAATGGGAAGTGGCCATATTTGGACCACCTGATACACTTTATCAAGGTGGTTATTTTAAAGTAAGTCTATGATTGAATGAATGAATCCAATGAGGAAAATTTTTTTTTGTGTTGTTGTTTTTTGTTATTGTTGTTGATTGAGAAGAAAAAAAAGACAGATGTTAATGAAATGAATGTGTAAAGACCTTGATCTAGTTTAGTTTTTGCAATTAAAGTGTGTAATATTTATTTATTTATTTTTTTCGGTTGCTCTGTCTCTCTCTCCGTATAGACATTGACCTTGTTTTTTTTGATTTATTTAAAATTAAAATTTTAAAATTTTTTTTTTCTAGGCCCGTGTTGCATTTCCACCGGATTATCCATATAATCCACCATCATTGAAATTTTTAACCAAAGTATGGCATCCTAATGTATATGAAGTAAGTTTTTTTATTATTATTATTATTTTCCTGATTCATATTCTCATTTCAATAATAATAATGATGATGATGATATAGAATGGTGATCTCTGCATTTCGATATTACATCCACCGGTTGATGATCCACAAAGTGGTGAATTACCATGTGAACGATGGAATCCAACACAGAATGTTAGGTATGAATTATTCATTAATGACTGATTGTTGATTCTATCTTAAACATTCTCTATTTATTCATTAAACACAAACAAACATGGTAGAACAATATTGTTAAGTGTAATATCATTGTTAAATGAACCAAATACATCATCGCCAGCTAATGTTGATGCATCGGTTATGTATCGTAAATGGAAAGATTCAAAAGGAAAAGATAAAGAATATGAAAATATTATCAAGTAAGTACATGGTTGATGTTCATTTTGAATATGATGATGACTAATTGTCTATTTTTTTTAATAGAAAACAAGTTGCAGCAAGTAAATTGGAAGCAGAAAAAGATGATGTTATTGTGCCTACAACATTGGAAGAATATTGTATTAAACATAAACATAGGCCAGATTTAGATATGGATATAGCTGATTATTATGTTGATGAAGATTATGATGATGATGATGATGATGATTATGATGTTGATGATGATAATGATGAAGAATATTGTGATGAAGAAAAAGATGATGATGATAGTGGTAATGGTGAATCATAAAAACAAAACAAAAAAAAAATTTTGTCTCCAGAAAAACCAGAAACATTTTAGACATGTAAACAAATCAGCTGATGATGATGAAAATTCTTTCTCAATAATGTAAATTATTCTTTTTTTCTCTCTCACACACACACACACTCTTTTTCTCATTCGATAAAATTTTTAATCGATCATTCACATTTAATCAATCAATCAATCAAACAAACAAACAAACAGTGACAAATGAGAATTCGCCTTGCTACTCATCATCATCATCATCGAAACTTATTGGATGATCTATATATATTTTGTGCTGCATGTAAAAATGCAAAAAAAAAAAAAATTTTGTCAATTCATTCATCGATTGATTGATTGATTTTTTGCCATCTACTAAAACTCATTTCATCATCATCATCATCATCCATAATCTACGTGATAAATAAATTTTAGGACACACACACTTACACACACACCACTAATTGTTTTAACTCATTCGATTTTTCTTTTTATTCAACAAAACGACAAAAAAAAGAAGAAATCTGACACATAAGGCACGAATACCGAAAAAAAATGACCACCACTACTACCACCACCACCACCATCAAAACAATCACTTATCTACCGAATTTTAATCAATTTTCATTTAGCTTGAATTTTTTGTTTTTTTTTCTGACAAATTGACATTGTAATTCAAACACACAACACAGACACACACGCTAAAAAACAAGATGAAAAAAAAATTTTTTTCCATACGAATACGATGATTTTGTATTATTACGAATTATGATAATCTCACACCACACACACACATGATACACTTTTATTGATTTGAAGAAAATAAAAATTTGACATTTTTTTCAAAAAAAAAAAATCATTCTAAGAATGTTTTGTTTTTTTTTTTATTTGATAAATCTTAAAAATCAATTATTCATTTTTTCAATGATCTAGATTTCCGTTTCCGTTTATTACTTAAACTGCCACTACTACTTTTTTTGCTTCTATTATGATGATGACGACAATGATGATGATGATGACCACCACTACTACTGCCACCACCACCACCACAAGATTTATTCGAACGATTTGATTTTTTCAATGTTTTAATTGTCGATCTACTACTATTATTATTACTACTTAGAGCTTTTGATGAACCTAATGAAAACAATGTTTTCATCGATGATGATGATGATAATGATAATGATGATTTACGTGAACGACGACTAAATGATGATGATGATCGTGAACGGCCACCACAACAAACGTAAAAAAATACACCGAATAATATTGATATCATAATACAAAGGCCAGTAATAAAATCGAATAAACCCATTTTGTGTTGAAACAAAAAAAAAAATTCGACAATGTTTTCTGAAAATTGGAATTTTTGATATATATCGATTTTAATAATAAATGAAAATCAATCGATTGTTTAGCTATTTGATTGAATGAAAAGAATTTTTTTTTGCTCAATCATTTAATCATTTGTTTAACAATTTTGACCTGAATTATTATTGATTGGTGATGATGATGATCGATGAATATGCAGAACAGAATGCATATCATTTCGAATCTGAATTTTGCCTTGAATCAATTGATCCTAGTCATTCGAAAATCAATGGCTTTATCGATGAAAATATTCAAAATCATTTCATTTGCAATTGTGTCGTTGTGTGTGGAAAAATATTTTTAAATCAATCAATCAATCAACCAATCAACCAACCAACCAACCAAAAAAAAAAAAATCATGATACAATTTCATCAACCATTATTGGTACGATTGATCAATACACCAAGAAATAAATATGTTGTATACATGTTTTTACATGTGCCAAGACATTGGCTAAGTATTTGTTATCAAATTTTCATGATGATGTTGATTACTGTATGTATACTGGTCACAATGTTTATGCAAATTGGTAAGTTTTATTGTTTGTTTTAATAAAATTTTTAAAAATTTAAAAAATTCATCTACCCATTCATAGATGTCGGTAGTCAAACTGAATATATTGTACTTTTCTGGTTGGATCTTTCCTGTTTGATCATATTTTGTTCAGAATTCATATTGAATGTATGGTCATCTACTGTATTGCCACAATATTCTGGTCCATATGGAATATATTGGATGTTAATAAATCCATTATATATGATGGATATGGCTGTTATCGGTGTGACGATTGCCGTTGTTGCAATGGATTGTGTTTGGCTACCATTGGCAGCTGGTTTACGTGGTTTTCGTATGATTTGGTTTCTACAGAATCGTTCTGTTATGATTCGATTATTATGGAAAGCAATTTGGTCAGAAAGATTTCAACTAATGGTATCCATTTATTATTGTGCTGTTTGGGTATTTTCATTCGGTTTTCTTATGTATTTCATTGAACAACCATTTAATTCATATTTTAATACTGTCGCTAATTCAGTATGGTGGGCAGTGGTTACATTTACAACCGTTGGTTATGGTAATGCTGCTCCAAGTAAGTTTTTTTTGTGTCTTATTTCTTCAATTTATTGATTGATTAATTATCATTTGATTGATAGTAACGACTGCCGGTAAAATTGTCACTGCATTTGCCATGATACTTGGTGTTTGGTTATTCGGTCTACCGGCCGGTATTGTTGGTGCAGCATTAGCATTAAAATGTGAAGAAGAATGTAGTACAGCTGGAACATTACGACAGAATTTTGGCGCTGCAATGGTACAAAATGCATGGAAAGTATATCGTATCCGTAAAGAAGAAGATCGCCGCCAAGAAGATGATCCACCATTATTGGTTCGTGTATCATCATTTGATCATTCATTACAATTTATTAATCAACCAAATGCACCGCCTGTTGATATGCGTGAATATTTCAATCCAATTGCCGTTAAATTTGTATTCCTATTGAAACATGCTTATTATAAACGAAAATTTATCACTAGTGAAGAGATAAATGATTCGAAAAATTTTTATGCAACATATATGCAAACAAGTTGGCAACAGACAAATATGTTGTTGAATTTACATTCAAAAATTGATCATTTATGGGATTCAATGACTGAAGCTCGTCGACAGATTGATATAATTCAACAACAACAACAACCACGACAGCGAAGAAGTTTACCCGATGACCAAGACAATGGTGGTGGTGATGATGGTGGCGATGATCATGATAATGGTGGTGATGATGATAATGATCAATCGCCTCCGGATGGTGGTAATAATCAACCAGTTACAACCACCAATGATGATGATGATGATGGTGTAATAACAAGTAGAAGATCCAGTGAAACAACAGTAAAAAGTGGCAATACCGATGATAAATCTGATGGTAAAATAGTCCATTTGTTTTATTGAAAAAACATCGAATTCCATTGCATAGATTATTACGACGACAAATTCATTGTTGGAATTGTCTTTATCGTCAACATTTAAAACAACAACATAATCATCATCGTCATAGTCATAAAAGTCCAGAACCAAATGAACAACAAACAGAAACAATGCCACAATTATTAGTGGATCTTTCAACACCACGATCATCACAACATGATCTTTTATTATGAAATGTGATTCTATATTAGTATTCTATATTCATTTATAACAATCAATGTTTTCAATCATGACCAATAACATGGGCCCAATCAAGAAAATACAACATACACCATAATACATTCAACATGATTGACATAATCATAAGATTATATTTCAATGATTTTCTCATCATAAAATCCATCATACCAATAGCACAGCCTAAAGTTGTACCGGCCACTAATGCCCAAACGGTAGCAATGTTTACTAAGGACAAAAAAAAAAGAATTTCAAATTAAAAATTATTAACAATTATTTTTTTTTACTTACATAAACCCATTAATGGATGATAAACATATCTTAACAGTTCATCGGTTGCCTGTTCCGGTATTGGTCCTTGATATATACCATTTATACGATATACATGATAACCAGCATACCAAGCGACCATTGTTATGGCAATATAAATGGCACAGAATAACCAATGAAGTCGTTTGTCCATCATAAATAGTATATATTGACGTGTGATTGTAAAATGATCAATATTTGATACAAAATTTGAAATGAAAATTTCATTTCAACATTGTAAAAACTGATGATCCAGATGAAATGTATGAGGAAAATCGTTCGAAATTATTAGTTCGGAATCATCATTTTTTTTCCTGGTCCTTTACATTGCTGATTTTTTTTTTGATTTTTTCCTTGAATTTTTTTTTTCTTGCTGTTTGTTGAATATTGAACAATTGAACAAAATGAACAATTTCGATTTTGATTTGATTAAAACGAAAAAAATTGAGAATGTAGAATTTAAAAGAACACAAATCAAGCATTAAATTCATATTTGACGATTAGATTGATTTGTTTGATTGATTGAAACCGAGGGGATAGAAAATGGAAAAAATAAACAAACCAAGAATGAATAACAAAAGAAAAAACATTATCGTTCATCATCATCATCATCATCATCATCAGAAGCGTGATGATAAATCTAAAAAAGATTATTTTCGATTAATTGTAAGTTTTTATCATCATCAATAATCAATAATATTAATCACCCACATATGATGATCATTGATTCATTGAAATTTGACAATTATTATAGATTAATTTTATACTTGATGAAGATAAATTTCGTTCGAAATTATTGAATTTATCAATACCAAAAATATCCGTTGGTTATGAACAGGCATTTCCGAAACGTTCGAAATTCGAACGTTTTGAATATATTGGTTCTGGTTCTTATGCACAAGTTTATAGACATAAAATAATGGATCCAAGTGTTGCTGCCAAAGTCGTCGATGGTATTGGTGGTGTGGTTTCCAATAATCATCATCATCATCATGATGGTACACAATCATCATCATCATCATCATCATCATCGATATGTGAAGATAATATCATTAAATTTATTGAAGTTTTCAGTGAAGGAATTATTAAAAATTTGTTTGGCGTTAAATCATCTAGTTCAGTATCAAATTATAAACATGCTTATAATGAATTTCGTATATCGATTAGCCTATCATATCTGAATATTGGTGTTCGATATAGAAAACTTGGCTATCAATGTCCATTATTTCCAAATGTTCATGGTTGTTATGTAATCAATCAATCAATGATGCCGGATTATTTTGAAATTCCAGCAAAAAAAACGGATAAAAAAACAAAATGTGTTTTTAAATTTGATTATCGAAAATTAATGGAACCACCATTGGATGGTGGTAAAAGCAAAAAAAGATGCCAATGAAGATGATGATGATGATAATGTTAATGATAATGACGACGATGGTGATGAAAATGATGATGATGATGATGATGGCAATACAATGAATAATTGTCAAAGTAAACAACCATTATCAGTTGTAAAAAAACGTATTGCACCTGAAGTAGCAGCAATACGAATGGAAGATTGTGGCCAATCATTATATGATCAAATGGAAAATTATCAACCATTAGAAATTCTATCGGTGACCAAACAATTGTTATTGGGTTTCATGATTGCTGAAAAAGTATTTGAATTTGAACATCGTGATCTTCATTTGGGCAATATACTTGTAAAACAATCACCATACGAACAATTGACATATGTTTATGATGATCAATTCATACAGATGCCATCCAATAATCTATTGGTCAAAGTGATTGATACAACATTTTCACGTCTAAAAATCAGTAAGAATTCAATTCAATATGTATTATTAAATAATTGAATCATTTTACATACATTTTGTTGTTATTATTTTTTCAAAATAGAAAATCGAATCCATTATCGTGATTTATCGCATTTATTTGATCCAAAAGATTTTGAATATTGTGCCGGTCCAAATAATCAATTAGCACATCAAAATGAAACATATAAAGCAATGGCATCAGAAGTACAAACTGATTGGTTAGGTTTTTATCCACGTACCAATATGTTTTGGTTAATCTATATAATTAGAAAATTTGGCCGTATAATGCGTAAACAATATCAACAACGACAATATACAAGTGATTGGTATCAGGTACGATCCATATTAAAATGTTATATACATTCATTATTTAAAATGAATGATTTGAAAACATTTTATCGTAAAATAATGATACGGCCACAATTTAATCTAATAGTACCGATTCGAATAATGACAATGAATGATTCAAATTCGAATCATCATCATCATCATAATTATAGTTGGTGGTGTAGTGGAAGTTCATCATTATCACGTTGTCATACTATTTCAACAACATCAACTATTGTTGGTAATGTTGTTAAAGAATCGAATGTTAATGTTCGTGAACACAATAATGATAATGATGAAATGATTGATGATCGAAAAAAAAGACAAAAATCACAATCAACATCATCACCGACAATTAGTTGTCATCAACATGGTCATATTCATTATCATCATGATAATAATCTACAATCAACAAAATCTATTCAACAAGAATATGTTTCCGATTCTACTTCAAATTTACAACAACGACAAAAATAAAATGCAGAATTGAAATGTTTTTATTATCAATCAATCAAAATCATAACATAATAATACATATATAATAGTGTGGGTGGTAGAGGAAAGGGTGGGTGTAAAATGCAGATAAAAATAAGAAAAGAAAATCGGCTAACCTAATCGAATATTTCAAGGTTTTTTTTCATCATTTTTTTTTGTTTTTCAAAAATCTAAAATTTGATTAAACTATCAAAGTAGAGTATTATTATGATCATCGATATTATTTGAATCAAGTAATGCATCTTTATCATCAATTATTTTGCCACCATTTCCATCATCATCATCGTCATCATTTGTACCAACAATTGCACCGCCACCATTATCAACATTATCAAACATCATCATCATTGATTTATCATTATTATTATTATTAGTATCAGCTGGAGGATTATCATCAAATTTTTCTGCCGATTTTGGTTGTCTTTGATGATCATTGTTATCATCCAATGAACCAACATTATTTTTAATCAATTTTATAACTGGATCAATTTTTGGCTTTTGAATTTGTTCATTTGAATGATGATGTATTTGATCAGAATTTTGTTGTTGTTCTGGTGGTGGTTGTTGCTGTTTATGTATCGTTTCTGGAATAGCAGCAACAGCTTGTGATTGTGCTTCAACAACAATACCAGGTGCTGGAATATTATTTTCATTATTATTATCATCATTATTATTATTATTATTATTATTCGAACCCATTGAAGATGATGGCAATGATGATAATTTCGGTGGTAATGGAATCGGATTGTTATTATTATCATTATTCAATGATGATGGTGGTGAATGTATCACATTTGTTAATTGAGATCGTTCCAGTTGTTGTTGTTGTTGTTGTTGAGCTTTTAAAATTGATTCATCAGCATTTTTAATAGATGATGATGATGATTGAATATGTTGTTTAGATGATTGTGAATCTAAACGTGATTTTACATCCATATAATCAGATTTTAATTTTTTATTTTCATCAATCAAAATTTGATTTTTTTCACGTAATCCACTGATAATGGTTTCTTTTGTTTTCATTTTGTTATGTAAATCATTCACAGTATGTTCAAAATCATTATTGGTTTTTTTCATCGTTATCAACATTTCTGATTGTTCATCAAAACGTTTCTGTAGATCTAATAATTCTTTTTCTTTTTTCTGCAGATTTACTTTAGCTTCACTGAAATTTTCTTCACGTAATTCTAATTGTTTACTGATGAATGATTCATTTGCTTCTAATGAATCTTTTTTCTGTATCAATCGTCGTAGCTGATCTTCAAGATCATTATATTGAATACCAAGTCGCCAATAACTGATACCCAATACACAAATACCAACACATAATGTTGCAACAAGAAATGGTGGACTACGGCCACCAAATGGACGCATATGACCACGAGCTGCCGATGATAATCCCATAATTTTTTTTTAATGAAATTTTTGGAACAAAATATGATTTGTATTGAAAATTTTTATGCCATCCACAAACGATAATATTAGTGATTAAAATAAAAACAAATTCAACACTTTGAATACAACTTTGTCATCATCATATATAAGAAAAAATTTTCTTTTTTTATCCAAACTAAATAGAAAACAAAAATGAGGACAAATTTTCTGCCACAAAACAAAAAAAAAAAATCTTCAAAGGGTCATTCACTGAAAACATACAGCGGTATCTCGCTATATATATATCCTCGTTATGATGATGATTAAGTATATGCATAGTGAATCTTTGGATCTTTGAATCATTGAAATCCTGTAAATAACGGTTTCGTCCTTTATTGACGGTTTCATGTTTAGTGGTGTTTTTGGTTTGTTTTGTTTTGTTTTGGTGAGAAAAAAAAAGTTTTTATTTATTTCGTTTTTTGTTGATGATCGAATCGTTGAATTTTTTACATTTAAAACAACAATTTCAATCTGAACATAAATCATCATCATTGAAAGATTTTTTTTTTACAACGAAAAATTGTAACTAGATGATCAACAACAACAACAACAACAACAACATTATTTTTTGATGTTACAAAAATCGAATCATCATCATCATCAAATGTGTTATGATAATGAATCATTTTGAAAATAATAACAATAATAATTTACCGGAAAAACCGGGTGAAGTAATATTACGGAAATTATTTCATGAATTTACCATATTAACTGGTAAAAAAATCGATACAATACTTACGTCTGAATCGTTGGAAAAACCATTGGCCAAATGGTTACAACGTGGTGAAGATCCAATATTTGATCAATTGTTGACGGCATTCGGTACGGCAGCCGAACATTGTTTGCCATCACAATTACGTTTATTATTTGAATGGTATCAACGACAAATCGATGCAACAGATGTGTTTGCTGAAGAAAATCAACGAATAATCAAAACAAATCAAGAGGCACAATTTTCATCAAAATCTGGATCATTAACCAAATCAAACATACAATCATTGGATAATTCGGATATTGAAATCTATTATTTGTTAGAGAAACGTGATCTTGCCGTTGAATTTATATTTTGTTTAGTATTGATTGAAGTTCTTAAACAATTACCATTACATCCTGGTTATGATGATCTAACTAATCATATTGAAAAACTTGCATTCAAACATTTTAAATTTCGTGAAGATGCACAATCGAATCCAAATCTGGTCAATATCAACATGATTGCCGATCTTTATGCCGAAGTTATTGGCGTGTTGGCACATTCTCGATTTCAATCTGTACGTAAATGTTTTATGAATGAATTTAATGAATTACGTTCACGTGATCCTGGCCCTATTACAACACATTCCATAATATCATTGTTGATGGGAATGAAATTTTTTCGTATAAAAATGGTACCAATTGAAGAATTCGAAGCATCATTTCAATTTATGCATGAATGTGCACAATATTTTCAAGAAGTCAAAGATAAAGATATTAAACATGCATTGGCCGGTCTTTTTGTTGAAATTCTTGTGCCGGTTGCAGCGACCGTTAAAAACGAAGTAAATGTTCCATGTTTAAAGAATTTTGTTGAACTACTATATTCACCATGTTTGGATCTTTGTACAAAGAAAAAACATTGTCTTGCATTGTTTCCATTGGTCACCTGTTTATTGTGTGTTAGTCAGAAAGCATTTTTCCTTACAAATTGGCATTATTTTTTGGCAATGTGTCTTGGTCATCTAAAAAATCGTGATCCAAAAATGTCACGTGTTGCATTGGAATCACTTTATCGTTTATTATGGGTTTATATGATACGTATTAAATGTGAATCAAATACAGCAACACAAACACGTCTACATTCAATTGTTAATTCATTGTTCCCGAAAGGATCAAAAGGTGTCGTTCCAAGAGATACACCGTTGAATATTTTTGTCAAAATCATACAATTTATTGCACAGGAAAGATTAGATTTTGCAATGAAAGAAATAGTATTCGATCTATTATCTGTTGGTCGATCAATCAAAATGGTATTGACACCCGAACGAATGAGTATTGGTTTACGGTCATTTTTAGTGGTTGCCGATAGTTTACAACAAAAAGATGGTGAACCACCTATGCCACGAACATTGGGCGTACTACCTTCTGGTAATACATTACGTGTGAAGAAAACTTTTCTAAATAAAATGCTTACCGATGAAATGGCTAAAAATATCGGTATGAGTCATTATTATCCATATGTAAGAAAAACATTAAGTGATATATTACGAGCATTGGATCAACAATTTGGTCGTCCATTAATGATGACATCAATACAGAATGTAAAAGAACCAGATGATATGATTAGTGGTGAACGTAAACCAAAAATTGATCTATTTCGTACATGTGTTGCAGCCATACCACGTTTAATACCGGATGGTATTTCAAAATCTGATTTAATCGATCTATTGGCAAGATTAACCATAAATATTGATGAAGAAATGAATGTTCTTGCATTTCAAGCATTACAGAATTTAGTGGTTGATTTTGCCGATTGGCGTGAAGATGTCATTGAAGGATTTATTAATTTTATTCTTCATGAAATACAAGATTCAAATCAAGATTTATTAATGAATTCATTACGAATGTTGTTGCAATTGTTAACATCATGGAAAAATACTGTTCAACAACAACAACAACAACAACAGCAGCAGCATCAACAAACGAATCCAGTACTATTGAACAATATACCGGAAATAATTGGTTCATCATCGAAATCATCGATTCATCAAAATTTACAAGCTAAAATGGATCAAAATGCAAACGTATTATATAATGTAGAAGGATTAGCATTGGTAATGTTATGTCATTATCGACAGCCAAATCGTCGTTTAGCAAGCTATATATTGAAAGAAGTACGTTTCATATCGAATCTATTATTACATGGTAATAATAATAATAATAATAAAAATTATGATGAACCTGTTGCAACAATAATCGATGTTACATGTCCAATGATAATTGAAAATTGTTTTCCATACATTAGTTCAAGTGAACGTCAATCAATTATTGCAATGTCATATCAAATTGATTTACAATGGTTAGCTGAACGTACAAATAATTCATGGATTTCTGATCGTGTAAATAATGAAAATAATAATCAACAACAACAACAACAACAATTGAATCAAAAATCTACAGTAACAAATTTATCAAATACCGTTGTCAGTGGTACTGGTGTTAATCATCAACAAATGATTATTGATTCAACAGCAACAACAACAGTGACATCTACAACAACATCGATGAATAATAGTGGTGGTGGTAATAATAATCTACAATCTGGTACAATTAAATCTATTCATCATTCATCGCAAACAGAGAATACAATATTGGATCAAACATCGATAACAGCGGCATCAACAACAACAGCAACAACAACGACAACATTAACATCGATGACCAATACAGTGAATTATGATGATGATCTTAAATTGAATGCATGGAATATATGTTTAATGTCATTAATGGCTGAAGTTATAAAACATTGTCCAAATGCTGTTGCAGCTGCATGGCCAATTGTTAGGCAACGATCAAATACCCTATTTCAGAATATTGATCCAAATCCGGTGAATGATAATCGTGCATCATCAATATTGCGTACAACATCGAATCTGAAACGATCAATTTCATCATATGAAAGAAATTTTTATCTTGAATTATGGAAATCTTATCTGATGTTTGCCTGTAGTATTGCACCATCATCAATAGCTGTATCATCATATTTATCGAATGTTAATAATGATAATTGTGCATCACCGGATTCATTATCATCAGAAAAATTATCATCATCAATTGAAGGTAGTCGTTCACCGATAATGAATCGTGGTAGTAGTGCACAGAATCTTTTTAAACAAACTATTCCATTGTTACGTGCCGAACAATTTGATCTAAGAAATGCTGTCATATTGGGTCTTTCACAAATCAATCCATATGCATTGCCAGATTTATTGGAAGAATTGATGCCTTATTTTCGTGAAGCAATAGATAAAAAACAGGAAAATCTACGACGCCGTAAACGACGTGAAATGTTACGTATACAGATTGGTCGTTTATTTAAATTTATTTCTGAAAGAAAAATATTTGCTCAATGTCCTATTGGTTTATCATTAACATTGATTGAATATATTGATGGTTTACGATCATATTTTGAAAGTGAAACAGATAAAGAATGTAATACAAATGATATAAAAGAATCATTCTGTCATTTTATTTGTAATTTAATCAAAAGTTTTCCAATTGAAACACGTGAATCAAAATTATCACGTGAATTACGTTCAAATCTTTTTAATTTATTTGCTACTTGGAGTGGTAAATATGGTAATATGTTATTGATAAACAATCATCATAATCATCATCATCATCATCAGTCCACATCGTCATCATCATCATCATCATTATCATTATAATCAACAAAAAAATAATGATACACAATTATTATTGGATTTTAGTTTCATTAATGAATTGGAATTTTTATCCATACGTTCAATGGCTACTGTATTGACGGCTGGACCTATGATGTTTGATTCTACGAAAAATTATCTATTTGATAATACAAATCTTTATCAATGGCTATTGAATCTATTGAATGCAACGGAAAAACGTATCAATGATATTGGTCTCGAAACATTGATTTTATTATTGGAAAATAATAATGAAGCTGGTCCATTACTTGAATGGTTAATTGAATGTTGTTATACGAAAGCCATCGAAAATTGCTGATAGCTGTTTCATTGCTTTAGCGACAATATTTTCCATACGTGAATATCCATGTGATCGTTATATTGCAATTATTATTGTAACCATGATCAATGTTGCCTGTCCAAGAATTGAAATACAACAATTAGCATTACAATTATTGCAAATATTGGATAATAGATTTTTTTTCAATTCATCAAATAATTTTCGTGATTATAATAGTCGATTATTACAAGAACAGCCTAAAAAAACATCATCATCACCATCACAACAACAACAACAACAGCAGCAGCAGCAACAACAAGATGTGATGATGGATCAAATCAATGTGCAACAACCAATGATTACAGATGATCATAATCGTTCTGGAACAAGTATAAAAGGTTTTGAACCATTATTAATTGATCTTTATTGTTATTCAATGTTTACAATATCAAAAAGAATGGCCATTCTACATCCACAGCTGACAATGATTGTATTTAGTGAAATAACATATCGTATTCAAACTGCATTGCCAAATGTTTGCCATAATCTATTACAATTTCTAATACCATGGTTATATAATATGCAATTAGTGGATACAACATGTCAGCCAAATATTGCACAACAGAATCCGGATTATTCATATTCACATGATGATGATGATCATCATCATTATCAACAGAATTATTATCGCTATGGTTGGGGATCAATTGAATCAACACAAATGATATTGAATAATCTTCTTTATATAACGGTAAAATTTGGTGATAATTATCCAGAAGAATTGGAAAAAATTTGGGCATCATTATGTCAGAATCGACCGGCAAACCTAAAGATTATATTTCGTTATCTATTCATTTTGACTGGTCTATCACCAAATGAATTATTACCATATGCAAAACGTATTGCCATTTATTTAGCACGTGCACAACCAGAACGTGTAATCGATGAATTAATGGCCGATTTACAGGCTGTTGAATTATTAAGTTTCAATGCTGAACGTACCGAAGCGTTTCCATATTTTCGTATTGTTCATCGAAAATGTTCAGCCACACATCTTGATGATAATGATTATTGTAATAATAATAATAATAATCATGGTAATGGTAATAATCATCATAATTTTAATTATGCAATTCATCGTCGTACAACAATTGGTGGTACAACATCGGTTACTAATGATAGTCGTGATACATCGTCTAGTGCATTAATTACCGAAATAGGAACATTACATACAAAAAGACATAGTAAAGATTTTCATACAAAATCCTATGATCATGATACATTAAATATGAATGGTGCAGCGACCGCCACTACCACCACCAACAACACCATCACCACCACCACCACTGCCACCACCATAACGAATAAATCAATAGATCAATATAGAAATTTTGATAGCCTAAATGGTAGTTCATCATCTGATGAATATAATGGTTCAATTGAATTACCAAATGATGATTCATTACCAATATCTGATCGTTATATAATGAAACCATCAACACCACAGCCAAGACCATTACCAATGCCTGAATATGGTGGTTATTATGCACCATTAAAAGAATTATTAAGTGGTAAAGATTGCATGAATAATAATAACAATAATAATAATCTTGGTTTACCTGGTCAACAACAACAACAACAACAAGCGATCGGTTTTCATCGATGTTTTCTTGCATTAATGTTGATGAGTGATGTTATTACACAGGATATCCATGTTGATTGGACACCACATATACCGCTTATGTTGCATATAATATTTCTTGGCATGGATCATAGTAAACCGATTGTATATGAACATTGTAAACAATTATTATTGAATCTATTGGTTGCTTGCTGTAAACATGAAGATAATCTTACTGTGGCAAGAATTCTGCTAAAAAATCGTATACAACAACAGAATTTTGGTCTTTCCATACAGAATAATATTTTATTGAATTTTCAATCCAATAATGTTAATGATCAATCAAATAATAACAATAATCATACAGCCGGTGGTGGTGAACGAAAGAATCCAAGTGAATTGGATTTGGATAAAATTTTCACAAAAAGTAGTGAAAATCTTGTGTCAACAACAGCAGCAGCTGCAGCAACAACAACAACAACGGTGACCATTTCTGATTCTGTTCATTTGAATGATATTCAATTGAAAATTGATAAAGATGATTCTGATAATGTTGATGATGATCAAACGGCTTTCAACGACGACGATGATGATGAAGAGGATGAAGAAAATGAAGAAAAATCGACCAATCGAAATGATGAAAATGTGGATTCGAAACAAAATGATAATCGTCCACAACGATTTTCATTAGATCTTTATATAAAAACATTAATCGATTTTATATCATCAAAACGTGGTGGTCCATTATGGAATAATGAAGATATTACGGCTAAAGTTTGGTCAATTCGATCAGCTGAACAATTGTCAACATTTGTTGAACATGTTCTTTGTGTATTCAAAGAATCATTGCCATTTGCTAAAATTGAAAATCGTTGGGCTGATATCGGTTTATGGCAAGCATTACAATGTTCATCAAGACATTATGCTGGACGTTCATTGCAAATATTTCGTGCATTGAAAATTCCAATTAATCGTTCAATGTTATCGGATATTTTATCACGATTAGTAGAAACTGTTTCTGAACAAGGTGAAGATATGCAAGGCTATGTAACAGAATTGATGTTGACATTAGAATCAGCATTGGATACATTGGATCTGAAACCACGTTCTATATTGGAATTGATAAATCAATATTTTCATTTTGATACTGATTCAAAAACTGATGTCGCTGCTGACAATTCAGAGCAGCCGCAACAACCACAACAAGATAAAACTAATGAACAATTGGAAGAAAAACAAGATTTTCAAATCGATATTGATCAACAACTACAACAACAACAACAACAACAAATGGTTAATCGCCTTTATCCAGCTGAAAGTTCAGCAACATTAGTGGCCGGAACAAATACAATAAGACCATCACGTGCAATGGCTAAACATTTGATGAAAGTTCCTGCTCGTAGTAATACTTCATATTCAATGTCATTTCCAACAAGACGATTCAATTTTCTTGATGAACATCGGCCACGTTTCTGTACAACAAAAGATGTTGATTCATTCTATAATGATAATCGTAATTCCAAAGGAAATTCATTGGCCAATGTATCGTTGGGTCGTTCACAATCAGCACAATCATTGAAGAATCCACCCGAAGAAGAAGATGATGATAATCAATCATATTCATTGGATGATAAGAATTCAATGTTGGCACAATTTTTCTGCATTGGTGTCATTATATTGGAAACTGATTATGAACATGAATTTTTATTGGCCATTCGATTATTGGATAAATGTTTGCAAAAAATGTCATTAGATGATCCTGAATGTAGAGAAAAAATTGAAAAAATTTTCGTCCACATTAAATGGCCAAATTTTTCCGGTGTTCATCAATTATTATTGAAAGGTTTAGCATCGAATTTGTGTTATGAACCAACAATCAATTTATTGCATAAATTAACACCATATCTAAAGATATCGGTTATTGATCCAAAAAAATCCGAAACAGCATTTCCATTTCATGTTATGGCCATGTTACCATATCTGTTACATAATTATGATGATCCAAATGTACTTTGTATACAGGCGGCTGTTAGTTTTGCTGCATGGTGTAATGAACATTCGAATATTAATCTGGAAAATTTGGCCACCGTTATGACGTTGTATAGTAAACATTGTTTTAGTAAAGAAAATTCACAATGGACAAAATGTGTAGTGAAATATCTATATGATGCATATCCCGGATCATTTGTAATGATTATATCGTTTTTGGTTGAGGTAAGAATAATGATAATTTTTGGCCATTTTTAACTTTGGATTTTTTTGTTTTTGTTTTTATTTGTTAAAAATAAAAATAGGTTGCCGAAAAAGGACCAGCCGTATTCTTAAATCATATATTATCGATTTTACATTTTATGCTTAACTATATCGATCTGAATAGTAGTAGCCGATCGATAAATGATGATCTAATGCGTGTGGCCACTAAATATATTGAAGGACCACAATGGAAAGAAGCATTGAAAATATTAAAATTGGCTGTTACACGTTCATCAACATTGGCTGCACCATCATATTCATCGAATTCAACATATGCATCATCTATTATATCTAGTATTGTGTCTTGTGGTTCATATTCGGATGGTATGAGTATGACATCAAGTACATTTAGTGAAAGTGAATTTGGTAGTATTGGTAGTAGTATTAAACGTGAATTACCTGGTCGTACAATGGATTTTACCTTTGATATTAGTCAAACACCTATTGTTGGTGCTAAATTCATTGCCAAAAGACAAGCAATGACAGAAATGGCCGCTAATCATAATACTAGTAAAGATTTTGGTACCGATTCTGCAATCAGTAGTATTGCTACATCTATTGATAATAATAATGGTGGTGGTGGTGGTAGTAGTAGTGGTGTTAGTAATTCGATTGGTGATCGTAATGAAAAAAGTGATTTTATTCTACATAAATTATTCGAAGTTCGTGATAATTTTCCCATCGATAATAATGATAATGAATCAATACCAAGTAATGAAAATTCCACTACAAATGCCGATACAATTGGTGGCCATAATGTAAATGTGGATAATAATTCTACATTGAAACGAAGTAGTCTAGTAGCTACACAGACTAGAATCCGTGAACGTTTAGTCAACCTGTTTAATCGTTGTGGTAAACGAATTGTTGGCCTACCAAAATCACCATCGGTCATTTTTAGCCAAAATAGTGATGTTGGTATGGATAATCATAAATCATCTATGGCTTCATCAACAGAAGATATGTCAGCAACAAATAATGATGTATCCGGTGATAGTAAACATGATGATACGGCACATGGTGAATTTGCTTATTTCAAAGAATTTGATTTCCTAGAATATGAACTTGAAAGTCAAGAAGGTGAAAGTTTAGATAATTTCAATTGGGGTGTACGACGAAAATCATTATCGAATCTTGATAACGATGATATTTCATCAAATAAAACGAATAAAATGAATGATGAAATAACCAATGTTACATTTGAACCATCCACATCATCGATGATGATGATGATGAATTCATATTCACCACGATTATCTAAAAATGATGTCGACGAATGTTCATCGGATGATGAAGTGGAAAGTGTATCACCATTATATGATCTTTCATCACATCATAATCAGATTCCTGTATTTAATGAAAATTCTTCAACACATTCAAGACCAGCTAGTCTTATATCGCATGGATCATCACATAGTTTGGTATCGGAACCAGAATTATCATTAATGAATACTGTTTCATCATCGATTGCAGCGGCTAATCATCAGCCAATAATATTGCTGTCGAATCCAGAAGCCGAAGAACAATGTTCAAAATATTTTATGCAAATAATCAATGATCATTCTGGTCGTATGATGGCACAGGCTAATTGTTTGATTGTGAAAATTTTAAAAAATACATTCAAACGTGTCATATATTTAACACGTGAATCATGTGAATTACTTACACAGAATGTTAATAATCATATGGATAATAATAATCAACAACAACAACAACAATATGGTTCAATTGCTAATCGTTTTATGGATCTATTGGATATAATTTCAATGCAAAATGATTTTCCATTCATCCATATGAATGAACGATTATTCACAATGATTGATAATTTATTAAAAGAACAACAATTTGTCATTATGGGTTTACATGCACATTGGGAAACATTTAATGAGAAAAAAGATCAACTTTTTGGCTGTATTTTGGAATGTAAAAATTTTAAAATGAACAACAACAACAACAATACAGAATCATCATCATCATCATTGGATTCAACATTAATTTCGAAATTATGTCAACATTTATATCGAATGCATTTTCAGCTATATTTATTATATGAATGTTATTTAAAATTTATCGATTCAATCAAATCAATACACAATTATCCAATGGTTATTAATCATTCAAATGAAATTGGTGAATTGAAAAAAAATTTAATTAAATATATTGGTGATGACCATCACACTACCACCACCACTGATCAACAGTATTCATTCTCATCGATTGTATCATCAATGACAACCATAAGTAAAGAAAATGAAGCTGAACTACGTGATTTAATACAAACAAAACAATATTCAAGTGCTATACAATTTGTAAAGATTTTAAAAAATATGATGATGATTTCATCAGGTATGGGTAAGTTCAATTTTCAAAACAAACAAAAAAATTAATTTATTTTTCCTGTTTTTCTATCGAATAGATTCGATCAAAGAAGATTTAATTGAAACATTGTTGAATATTTATTGTCGATCAATATTACCATCATCATCATCATCATCATCGAATGATAATTATGTTGTTGATGGAGCCAGTAATGAAAATGAATCCTCATCATCATCATCATCAGCAGCAGCATCAATGCATCAATCGCAATCATATTTGATTATTATTGAACCAGAATATAATTTAGGCGATATTATTCGTCAATTAATGGATACTAGTTTTGTGATTTATAATAATTGTCCAAATTGATTGATTTGGTTAAAAAAAAAAAAATTTTTTTTCATGTTTTAAAAAAAAAATAAAATAAAATCCAATGTGATATCCAATTTTCTATTTGTTATTGGTTTTTTTTCTGATTGCAATAATAAAAATTAATGAATTGACGAGGAAAAAAATGATTTAAAAATCGATTGACGTATTACTACACTACATGAAAAATAAATTTTTTTTTTTTTTTTTTTTTTTGGTTGACAGGAAAAATAATTTCCCATTTCTATGCTTAAAATTATCATCATCATCAGATTTAGAAAGTTGAAACAAAACTTGCTTCTGAATGGATATTTAGACACATAGTGTGTAATGTATAAATATAAAAGTCAGTTTCAAGTTTTCAGTTACTTGTTTGGGGTAAAATTCATTGATTGGTTGGTTGTTGTTCTCTGTGTGTGTGTGTGTGTCCAAAGTGAATAAATCAACACCAACAAACAAAAAATCGATGACCACAATGAATGAATCAACAATTGAAATGATTGTGTGGAAAACACGACAAACATATTGTACTGATCGTACGAAAAATGTTCAATTTCGTATTAAACAATTGAAACAATTACGAAAATGTTTAACAGAAAATTATGACCAATTTATGGACGCTTTATTGGCCGATTTGGATAAGGTATTGTGATCATAATGAATAATGATGATGATGATGTAATATTCTAATTAATTTTGACCAAAAAAAAAACTAATAGTCCAAACCAGAAGCAACAATTTCCGAAATGCGTCCATTGCTCAATGATATTGATTATCAATTGAATAATATTTATCACCATACACGATTACAATATACAAAAACTAAACATATGACGAATATTTTTGATTCTACATATATTAAATATGAACCATTAGGTGTTGTATTGATTATTAGTCCATGGAATTATCCATTGATATTGTCGATACGTCCATTGATTGGTGCAATTGTTGCCGGAAATTGTGCCATATTGAAACCATCAGAATTATCACCAAACACTGAAAGATTGTTGACGGAATTGACAAAATATTTATTGCCAAAAATAAGTTTTCAGATGATTTAAATACATGAGATTTTCATTATAATTTCAAATACAATGATGATTTTCATTGAATCTCAGGAATGTTATCGGGAAAAATATGCTAATTTCCCACTTGAGAACATTTGAATGTTACAGTAATCGTCATGATGACGTTCTTTTATGATTTTCAAACAATGTTGATTATTGTTGGCATCTCGGTTGATTGTTGGAAGGGGTGTTCCGGTGTGTGTGGAGCGATGCGGACGGAGTGCACAATGAAAATTCCTATACAACACTGCAATCGAACAATATATTCATTATCTCAACACAAAATCTCAATCATACAAAACATACACCAAACAAATGACACTTTTTGGGAGTTTTTCTTTGTGTGTTCTGTCTGTGTTGGCTCTGCGCGTGCTGGAGCATTTCGTTCATCTGTTGACTGATAGGTCAATTGTAATGTGCTACGCCAGCTAAGCTGTATGATGATAGTTTTGATTCATCATTCATATTTTGATTGACATTGCTGGTTAGGCAAAATCATGTTATAGTAGGTGAAGATATGAGGAATTGATATTCAATTCTGTAATGAAATGTTTATTTACAGTTGAAAAAAAAATCATGTTCAACAGTTCAGTTTAGTGACATGAGTTTAAGCCGGGGAGAAAGTATTATGAAGATTCAAGTTTGAATGAAACATTTTATTCAATTTTGTATTGAAAAATTATTAATGATTTTTTGAATCATTATTTCAAGCAATATGAGAATATTGCCTTGTATTTTAAGCTTGGGGGAAAATATGTTGATTTCCTTTTTGATAACACCTGATTTTTACAAGAACCGTCTTGATGAAGTGTTCCAGTATGTGTGGAGAGATACAGACATAATACACAACTAAAATTCCTGCACAATGCTACAATTGAACAATATCTACACCGAATACAACGTTCACACACAGACAGTTGCACCTGCACTAATACAAAAAAAAAAAAAAAATGAAAACCACACATTATTAATATGACCACACTTTACTAACAATTAAACAGAACCAAATTTACACAATTCATATCTACTACACGAATATACAAAAAAAAAAAAAAAAAACAACATTGATACAGAACCAAATTTACAATGTTATCGTATTGTTATCGGTGATGCTGATGTATCGACACGTTTGTTGGAAAATCGTTTTGATCTAATATTCTTTACCGGTTCACCAATGATTGGTAGAATTGTTTATAATGCTGCTAGTAAATTTCTAACACCTTGTGTAATGGAATTGGGCGGTAAAAAGTAGGTCAACTAAATCAATCAATTGAATGTATCAATAATAATTTTTCATATATATATTAGTCCAGTATATCTAGATAATAATGTGACCGATTTCAATGAATCAGCCAAACGAATTCTTTGGGCAAAATGTGTAAACAAAGGACAAACATGTATTGCACCGGATTATTTAATATGTACGAAAAAAGTTCAGGATCGTTTCGTTAGATTGATACCAGAATTTTTGCAACAATTTTATGGTTCAGATGCAAGTAAATCACCATTTTATGGCCGTATTGTTAATCGTAAAAATTTTGAACATTTAAAAATACTTTTGGAATCAACTAAAGAAAAAATTGTCATCGGTGGCCATATCGATGTGATGACTGGTTTTTTCCCCATTACAATAATGGCTAATGTTACATTCAATGATCCAATAATGCAAAAAGAAATATTCGGACCAATATTACCGATTGTCACTGTTGATTCATTAGATGAAGCATTGGCATTGATCAAACAGAATGAAAAACCATTGTCCATAAATGTTTTCACCAATAATGATCATGTATTTGAAAGATTTCAAAATGGAACATAAGCGGTTCCATTGTGAAGAATGATTTATTTTTTAATCTACTTGTCAATGAATTACCATTCGGTGGTGTTGGTAATTCAGGATTCGGTAATTATTTTGGCCCATATTCATTTCCAACATTTTCACATGCAAAAAGTGTCATGATAAAACGACATAATTTTATCACCAATATTTTAATGAAAAGGTAAATTTTGTTTTTCTGTTCTACATTGAAATTCTAACTTTTTCCTGTTTTTTTTTTGTTAAAAAAAATCAGACGTTATCCACCACATAGTGATGCAAATCTTCGGCTTTTTAATTTTCTATTGGCACGTAATTTTATCGATGATATTGATTTTTGCGCCACATTCCGTTATCTTCTGTCATTCGTGATTGGTGTGCTGATCACATTGTTGGTCGTATATTATTCGGATGAAATTTTTTGACAAAAAAAAACCAATTTCGACGAAAAAAAAATGAATATGAATCTTGTTTTTTTTTGTCATCCAAAATGGCTAATAAAAATTCATGTTTTTTTTGCTTTGTTTTTGGTATCCAAAAGATTTACAGAATCAAATAAATCATTTGCCATGTTTCAAAAAACAATGTAAATTTTTTTTGCCAAATGTTTCTTCATTTTAAACCATTGATCACAGAATCGTAGAATTTTATCTTATTTTTTTCTATCATGGTATAACCAGATTATTATCATATATTATTATTATTATGGAATTCATAATATTCTGAAAGTAAAATGAAAAACTTTTGCCCATTTTTTGTTTTTTGCTAAATCTTATTTCATTTTCTGACATCTTTAACTTTTTTTTTCACGTTTGTGTGTGTGTGTGTGTGAATGCGTGCGCATATTTGATGTTTCATGGCAGGCAGACAGAAGATGTGCGCGCATACACACACACACACATTATTCATAGAAAATCAGCAGAATAAAAGAATCCTTAGAATATCGCCAATACCCTACTTGGATTGTATGGTATGGTATGGATAGCAAATGAATGATTTTTTTTTTTTTTTTTGGTTCAGTTTGATCTGGTCTAGTTTGGTTCTTGTTTATTCTTGGTCCAGTCGTTTATGAATGTGTGTGTACGTGGGTGTGTGTGTGTGTGTGTTTTTTGTATACGTGTGTGTTTGACATTTGGCGCCTGCCATCGATTAGTGATGATGATGATGATGATAAAATCAGCATTTGAAAAGAAAAACAAAAGTTTAAAATTGTTAAAAATCTATTAAATTGAAATTTTCATAAAAAATGGACATTTGAATTTAGAATCTGTTTGTTTTTGTTTAATAACGTTTCAAATATTCTAGTGGCCAATAATTTATATACAAATATAACAACGATGAAAATGAAAAGAATTTTTCATTGTTTTAAATTTCGTCATCGTCATTATCGAAATCAATGGAATTTAGCATCATCATCGATATTCATCAATCTAATTATAAATATTCTATACATTTTCATCATCATCATCATTACATTATCAACAACAACAATACCGACTACTACTACCATATTGGTAGATTGTTTACCAAAAATGATTAAAATTGGCAAGTATTTTTTTTTCTCTCGTTGTTGTTGTTGTTGTTGCATTGAATTTTGATTTTCAAAATTCATTTTTCATTCAAATTTTTCATTCTTTTTTTTTGGATTCATATGAAAAATTTTGTCAATCAAATGTGTGTGTGTGTGTTGGTGTGTGTGCGTTGAACTATGTTATTCTCTTCAATTATACAATACAATAAACCGATTATGGGATTTTCTCGTCGTTGTTGTTGTTGTTGTTGTCGTTGTTGCCATTGTTTGAAACTTTGAGATTCTCAATGAGATTATATGAGTCGATTTGAACTATGTTATTCTCTTCAATTATACAATACAATAAACCGATTATGGGATTTTCTCGTCGTTGTTGTTGTTGTTGCCATTGTTTGAAGCTTTGAGATTCTCAATGAGATTATATGAGTCGATTGTTTGCAAATGACAACAGAGAAACAAGATCTCTATGATTCATTTTTTTCATATATATATAAAATGTCATATGCAGATGCCTAAAGATTTTACCTGTCATCGGATGATGATTTAGCTGATTTTTTTTTATTATTCCTCTTTCCATCGTCATCATCATCATCATCATGTTTGATATGTAAATTTCATTATTCATTTTGATGGCTATAACAAAGAAAAAAAATGAATGAATGAATGAATAAAAATTGGCAAAATTCAAATTCTTAACATTTCTCTTTCCAACGCGTGTGTGTGTGTGTGTGTGTCATCATAAAAAAAAATACAAAAGAAAAACTGTCTGTCTGTATGATTTTTAATTTTATGAATAAAAAAAAAAATAAAATTCCATATTCAATAATAATCATATGAAAACAGGAACAGAATAATTTCCATCATATATTATTCTGATTCTGTTCCAATGATAGTAAGAAACCAAACCGATATTATTATTTCATTCATTCATTTATGGTAGCTTCTTTACACAAATTGATTGGGAATCACTGTCGTTGTCGTTGTTGTTGTTGTTGTTGTTAGTGGCTAATATGATGGCGTGGTCCAATCCATTAGTTCTAGATTAGATTTATTGTTTAGGGGAAAAAAAGAGCAACCAAAAAAAACATCATCATCATCAAAACAGGTGACAACTAAACTTTTTTTTTTTTTTGACTGTTGGTTCGCCATTATTCTGGCAATGTTTTTCGCATTTCGTTGTGTGTTTTAACAGTTTTTTTTCTGGAATTAATTATTATTACATACACACACACAAACACACACATACAGGTACATACAACTTTTCTTGTTGTTGTTGTTGTTATTGTTGTCGTTGTAATTTGATTAGCTTGCCCATGATAAAGAGGAACAATGGACAAAAGTTTTTTGTTTTTCTTGTTGTTGTTGTTATTGTTTTTTTTTTTGTCAATGACAATATTTGCAATGCACAACAAACTTTGTACATTGTTGTTGTTTTTTTATGCTGATCGTTGTTATTGTTGTTGTTGTTGTTGTGGCCAGTTGGACAACATCGAAAACAACAACAACAACAAGAAAAAAAAGGACAATCAATTTCTTTTCCATTGAAATGAAAAAAAAAGTTTTTTCAGTAGAAAACTTAAAGAATTCATCAGTTAATGAAAATGAATACAAAGATGATTCGTGATGAATGAATGAATGAATGAATAAAAAAAATGTCATCATCATCATCAACGTCATTCATAGTTGGACTGCCAAAAAAAAAAAAAAAATAGATTAATGAAAAAAAACAACAACAACATGCTATGCTAAAGAATTTGATGATGTGTAGATGGTGACAATCTTTCTAGACAGAATAAATATATTTCTTTTGTTTTTATCTATTTGTTTTACATTCTATAAGAATTATTCACAGAAGAAGAAAAAAAAAAAAAAAAGAATCCACACACACACACACACATAAATATCATTTGATGTTATTGTTTTTCTATCATCAGAATATTCTTTTTTTTTGTTTTTGTTGTTGTTGTTGTTGTCATTAATATTATTCTGACACATAAATTGGCTTTATTTTGTTGACCTTTATAGTCATGTCTTATACAATTCTGTGATTCTGTAATCTTGTTTATATTATATTGTTTTCTGTTATTGCCTGGCAGCTATTGGATTTGATTCTGTTTTCCTAGCTCTTTGTCTCTATGTTGTTGACAAATATGAAATCTCTCTCTCACGTAATAACAATGATGTTTATAGATAATCAAGATTGATTATCGTAGAATCACTTACCGTATATTCTTTTTGTTTCTGGTAAAACTATTGTGTTTTCACATCTTGGAATTTCATAATATATGAAATTTAATTCAAAATGAACGAAATTACTATTTTTTTTTCACCTGAATTTTAAAATCAAATTTTCATTGTATTTTTTTTACACTATAGTGAAATGAACAATTCTTTTTCATTACCAACCAGGTAATAGCAAAGTATTAGTGTGTGTGTGTGTGTGTGTGTAGGTGGAACAAATGATTGATGACGAACACGAAATTTGTTTTCCTTGTTAGTTCTATAGATGTGCACTAATGATAAAATCATTAGAAGATCCGAAATTCACTGAACCGAATTTTCAATCGATTTTATTCGATTAAATTCAAATTAATTTATTTTGATGTGTTTTTTCTCTTGTTGGCCATTTTCCATTGGCCTTGATCATCTTTTTTTTGTGTGTGTATGTGCATGAATCACTGAATCATTGAATCAAACAATTTAAATTTTAGAATCTGTTTTTGATGTGAAAATAAAATGAAATAAAGATTCTGCAATTGTCACAAATGAAAATGATATTAAAGAAAAAGAATCTGTTTATTATTCTATGAATGGGCAATTTTTTTTGTTTTGTTTTGTTTTGTTTTGTTTCACTTTTTTTTCCGCCACATGAACATTTATTTTATTTTGTTGCAGAATATTCTCTCTGTGTGTGTGTGTATATAAATAGTGAATTTTTAATGATGGAAATTTTAGAATTTCGTTACAGAATTTTTATGTTTTCAGCCAATTTGTTTTTTTTTATTTTCATTTTCATATTCTAAATTCAGGATGAATTAATTTCTTTTTTTTTATTTCGCTCAACGAACAACGAAATTTCAATGCATCACATTAGTAAGGTTTTTTTTGGTCGATTCAATCCGATTTTTTTCCCGTTTTTTTGTGTGTGTTTGAACAATTTCCATTCAATTTGTATTTTTTGTTTTCTCATTGGAATAACACATCACATGATTCATTTGAAGTGTGTGTGTGTGTGTGTGTGGCCTAAGGGTTCTCATTGTTGATGTTTTTTTTGTTGTTGTTGTTGTTGTATGAAGAAAAAAAAGAAAAATTTATCAGCCCAATAATTGAAATGAATGATCAATGTTTCCATCATCATCATCATCATCAGCATCAATGATTCGGATATGAAAATCAATAATAAATGTTGACAGATAAAATGGATAGAATCAATGAATGAATGAATGAATGGTCAATGAAAACGAGAAAACCAAAATTTCTCAATTCTATAAACGACCAAAAAAAAAAAAAAATGAGATCCACTTCAAATAAGAATATGAAATACGATCACCACCACCACCACCATAGATACAGACCAAAAACATTTGGTTCTTTTTTTTATCTTTTTTTTTTTTCGGTCCACTGGTCAATGTATAACGATGATGATGATGATGATGAATGAATAAATATTCATATAACATTAAATAATTCAATAACAATGCAGCATCAGCAACAGAATCAGCATCAGCATCAGCAACAGAATCATTATGATTTGATCAAACACGACGACAAAAAAAAATATACTTATGTAATAATCTGACTTATATTCATTCATTCATTCATTATTTCACTATTTTCATTTTGTTCATTTCATGCGCATAATAATCTTGGTAATCTTTTTCCTTTTTTTTCTCGTTGCATTCTTAAGTCCTTTTTATTTCATGCTATATTTGGCTCTCCATAACAAATTCATTGATTATTATAATGATTGTTATTATATGTGTTGTATTGGATAAAATAAACATAAAACAAACAACAACAACAACAACAACAACACAACAACAACAACAACAACAACATTACATTTTAGCAATTAGATTTAATGCATTATTCACACACACACACACATGATAATAATAAGAAAATAATGTGTTTCTTGTGCATTTCAATAAAAAAAAATCATCATCATCATCATGATGATCATCGTAAAATGAAAACAATACGTATTTTGTGTGTGTGTGTTGTATTCTTCTAAATATTCCTAATTCTCTCTAATAATAATAATAATAATAATATTTTTTAGACCAAAAAAATTCAAACAGAATTTATTCTTGTTTTGAAAAAAAAGAATTTTCTTTATACATACATTTTTTTATATATCTAAAAAAAAAATTCTAAACTCAAACAAAAATTCCTGGTCTCAGAATAAAGCTTCAATTCGATACACACGTTATTGTGGGATGATGATGATGATGAAAAAAAAAATTTTTCTTTTCGATTACTTCGTGATCTTAGTATGAACGAAATCGACCCGAATTAAGTTTACTTGATATGGTGCAAAAAACTGATGATGATGATGATGATTAAAATGAAATTGAAAATGAAAACAAAAAAAAAAGACACAGATCAGAAAAGTTAAAGTTAATCAAATCAAAAAAAAAAAAAACTCAACAAAAACGAAAAAAAAAATAGTAGAGAAAAACTTTTTTTTTCGTCAAATTGCTGAAGAATGAACCATTTATATATATATATGTAGTGGTTGATTCCGTGAAAACATTCAATTTGTATTTACTGGAAAAAAAAGACCATAGAAACTTTGTTGTTGTTCACATAGACAGTAAAGATAAATCATTTATACAATAAATGATGATGATGATGATAAGAGAAAACAAAACCAAATAAACAAATGAAACACCGGAACTATGTGGCAATTTATGATTATCAAATTGTGATTTATTTCATTTCACTTTCATTTTTTTCCATCATCATCATCCATTTTTTTCAATAATACTTAACCATTGGATTAATTGATGATGGTGGTAGATTATAGTCGATAAAATCAACACATTTTTGTGTGTGTGATTAATAATTGATGATGATGATAAGAATCTTATATATTACTGTTTTTTCCATTTATTCTGGACATTTGAATTGTCTTTACTTTCTCTAATTATTCTACTGTTGATTTTTTTTCTTTATATTTTGTATTTGTTATTTTTTTTTTTTATATCCAAAATGATTCTTATATTTTTTTTCCTTCGTTTCTTTATATAATAATATATATAGGCGGAATATTCTCACCGGATCAATTTGAACAGGCGACTGTATTTCGTTATGCAATCGATAGGCTCAATAATGATAATAATATGGCCATTGCCATTGGGAGCAGCGGCAGCAATGGAAACAACAATGCAAGAATATTGCCCAAAACAAAACTACATGCAAATATTGTACAAATCAATTTGGATGATAGTTTTCATGGCCATAAACAAGGTATGTTGATGGTAATTAGTGAATAATGATGATGATGATGATGATGAGAAATTTTCATTTTGATCGGAAACATTAGCAACATTATCGATTTGAATACAAGAATCTAAACTATATTCAAACTGCTAATATTCAGGCCATTGTGATTGCAGAATATTCTGATGAGTCTGATTGATTGAATTCATTTTTTTTTCGTCTTCAAAATTAGTTTCAGGTTTTGTCATACAGGAAAAGAAATTGATGCTTCAAGCACATGATAATGATGATGATGATGATGATGAGGTTATGGCAAGAATAGAATTCTTGTCATCTTCACTGTCAAGAAAAAAAACGGATACGTTATTTGAATATAGAATTTATGGTGGAAAAAAAATATTGATGGAAAGCATTTCTTCCGGATGTTTTTTGTGTGTGTGCAGTTTCAAAAGTTTCATGTGAAAAAAAACTGCCAGCATGAATAACAAAAAAAAAAAAAATTCGCCCTTATTCTTGCGACAAAATAAAATTCACGTTTATTTTTTTGCTATTTGTGTTGCTGTTGCTGTTAAACAAGGAATAATTTCCATTGAAAAATGACATTGATGTGATGTGATGATGATGATATTATGTGATGCGCAATTGCGTATAAATTTGATGATGTTTTCACTTTTTAGCTGTAAAGTGCTTTTTTCGATGGCTCGAAAAAGAGACAGAGAGAGAATATTTTGCATTCAATTTGGATAAATTATTGATGAGGATTTTGGGATCGATGATGATGATGATGTGATTGTTCCACGAATGAATGAATGAAATATGAATCTTTATTATTGCCCAGTTTGTGGATGTAGATCGACAATTTTTTTTTTGACGATGATGAGATTCCGGCAAGACAGAATAAGAATATTATTGATAGGCAACGAAAACGAGGATTAATCTGGCCATGGTTGAATTTCTAATCATTTCATTCGAATAATAATCAGCAAAACTTGTTTGTTTGTCTGATTTTTTTTTTTGCTGGCGCTTAAATTATTATTTTTTTTCCATTTCTATCCATTAGTTTTATTTGGAATAACTAGCTGTTGTCCAGAATTTGATTTGAGTTTTCTCTCATGAATTAATGTTTGATTTATATAATGTAATGGTGTAGTAGGTTTTTTTTTTTTTGGTAGAATTTGAAATTCCAATTTCAAGATTTTCATCATCATCATTAGCCGGAATAGAAACCGGAATTTGAAATTTCGAACGAGAAAAAAAACACGGCCGACATTTAAATAATGACACAGAAAAAGGCCAAAAAAAACTAAACTTTTACAAAATCTTGCCATTTCATAAAAAACATTTTGAATCTTTGAGTAGTCGCTTTTTTTTCGATTCTTAATCTCATTCTCAAAGTTTTGGTTTATCGATTTTTATTCTGTATGTGTGTGTGTGTGTGTGTGTGTGAAAATCTCATTATCACTTTTGTTTGTGCGAAAAACAAAAACTTTTAATATATCCAGATGATGACCAGAACAATAACAACAACAAAAAAAAATTCGACCTGGACAAATGAATGATTCAAAATTAATCAATTTTTCAATAATGGACATGTTGATTGTTGTCGTTGGCAACAACGATATTCCGTATACACACACACATGTGTGTGTGTGTGTGTTATATAATTCTCTCTCCAAGGATTCAACACGATGAATTTTTTACATTTTCATTCTGTCATCAAATGATGTTTTGTTGACACACACACACACACACACACACAATAACAAAACATGATTGAAAAAGAATCTAAATCAAACTTTTTTTTTCATTCTGGTGATTGAAATTGTGAAATTCTTTGACTAGATGAACGGAAGAAAGTTTTTTTTTTTTTTTGGTTGAAAGTCCATTTGGATTTCTCTTTTCTAAGAAATGGACAAATATCAAAAAAATGTCCGGTTTTTTGTGTCTGTGTGTATGTGGTAGACCATGATTGAAAAGTTTTTTTTTCATTGAAATTGAATTCGATGATGATGATTGGGAGAAAAAAAAGTAAACAAATTTCAGAATGAGAAAAAAAAATCCACGTTCAGACAGAATTTCGCCATTTTGGAACACCACATGTATATTTGTGTGTGTGTGTGTTGTGGCATAACCAAAAAAAAATAGGCAAAAAAAATTACGACCAAATGAACTTGCAGCTGTCAATTGTCAAATGAAACAAAAAAAAAGTTCTCTGGTGTGTGTGTTTGTGTATGTGAATAAATCTAATTATACGAATAAATTGTTTTTACCCAAACGGGTAAATGTGTCATATTTCCAGACAATAGACACTGCTGCCACTGTTATTGATATTGGTATATGTGATCAGTGTCAATTTTTCTATTTTTCATTTTCATTTCAAGAATCAGGCATAAATCGATTCATATAAATTGCGTTCAACGAATGAGAATGAGAATGTGGTGGTTGTAATAACGTTAATAATAATTCTGTTTTTTTTTTTTCATTCGTTTTCTTCATCATCATTTTTCAGCTTGTGGGTAATTTGTCATTTTTTTTTCGTTCATAAACATTTCACTTGCACACAAAAAAACACACACAATGTCTAAACATTTTTGTGCAATATTTGTGTTTTTGAGTAGCGAGAAAAAATTACTAAATCCCAAACCATTTTATAGAGTTTAAACGTAAGACAAACCATCATGATGATGATGATGATGATGATGATGGTTATAGCCCATTAATCGTGTTGATGATGAACGATGACGATGAAACAAATCGTTTCTGTTGTTGTCAAATCGTCAGTGTTTTGCCATACATCCAAATACATCATCATCCAGTTTTGAAAACAAAAAAAAAAATTTCAAAATTTTTTTTTCTTCCTCCTTAAAATGCAAGTGATTAATCAATAATGAAAAACTGGATATACAATTTGACCGGTTTGTGATTTTTGTTTCATCGTCGTCGTCGTCGTCATTTTTTATTGATGATAATGTTTTTTTTTCTCTTATTCTTTGTTCCAAATTTGATTCCGGAATTGCCGTGCCGTTTTTTTTTTTTTGTTGTTGTTGTTGTTGCTATTCGTAATGAAATTCAACTACACACAAATTACCGATAAGAATTTCAAATCGAGAGAAAGAGAGAGAGAGAGACGGATGAATCCATTATTATCAAGTGATTCTTGTACACACCGATTCTGAAAACTTGGAGAACCAAAAAAAAAAAAATGGAAATTTTTGTCTCTGGTTTTGTCATTTATTTCTCTTTTTTTTTGCTCTTGACAATTTTTTTTTCTCCACTCTGATTCTCTTCGCCCTTTCATTTCATTTCATTTCATTTTTTTGTTCTTGAGAAATTTCCAAAGAAAAAAAATGGAAATTTTCGAAAATTTTTCTTGGAAAATCAAAAAAAAAAAAAAAACAATCAAATCTCGAACATTTCCATCAATTCAATTTCTTGTTTTTATTTTTATTTTCTTATTTCTCAATTTGACATGTTGTTTACAACCAACCAAAACATCAAAAAAAAAAAAAACACAGTATGTTCATTATTGGAAAATGGTTCCATTGCATTATTTGGGCCATTAAATGGTAAATTATATCGTCATGTACAATCAATATTGGATTCATTAGAAATACCACATCTTGAATGTCATTGGAATACAATGAAACAATCAAATAATCAATTATCGGTGAATATTTATCCAAAACATGATTATTTAAGTATGGCATTCATAGATATTGTTAAATCATGGAAATGGAAAACATTCGTTATTGTTTATGAAGCCAATGAAGGTAATATTACATATATCCATTTTCATTATTCTTGATTCTTCATTTATTTATTATATATAGGTTTAATGCGTATACAAGAATTTCTTAAAGAAGCAGAAAAAAATGAATGGAATATACGTTTATATCAAATACAGGATCGTATGTATCGTGATATATTCTGGGAAATCAAACAGAATAATATTAATAATCTATTGCTCGATTTGGATCGTGATAATATATTTTTGGCGCTCAAACATGTAATGTCCATTCATTCATTTTTTTTTTGTCTAAAAAATTTTCATGATGATTTTTCATTCATTTTATTTTTACACAAAACACAGGCACAACAAGTTGGAATGATGACTGAAAATCAAAATTATCTTATTACATCATTGGTATGTGAAAATGAAAAAATTTTTTTCATTTCATTTCTAATTTTCTTATCCAATCAATCAATCAATCAATCAATCAATCAATTAAGGATCTTCATACAATAAATTTGGAAAATTTTCAATATGCTAAAACAAAAATTACTGCTCTCAGTTTAATAGATTTTTCATCTAAAGAGCTTCATGATGTGATTAATCATTTACGTTTTAGTTATCGTTTTCGTTCATTACCACAGCCGTCATCATCATTATCATCAATTTTATCAAAATCTACAACAACATCTACATTTCCAGATCCACCCATAAGACTTGCCAATACAATTTTGGTAATTTTTTTTTTTTTTTTTTTTTAGTCAATATTTTGCTTGTATTTATACAAATAATAATAAATTCATTTTATCATTTCATCATCAACAGACAGAATCAGCATTGTTATATGATTCAGTACGTTTATTTGCAACAGCATTAAAAGATTTGGATCAAAGTCAATCAATATCGATGCCAACCACATCATGTACAAATATGAATCCATGGTTATATGGTACATCATTAATGAATTATATGAGACCTGTATGTCTGTGTGTGTGTGTGTGTAAAATGAATTGATAAACTGGATTCACAATTGGAATTTTTTTTTTTTTTTTTTTTTGAAGATTTCATTTCAAGGAATCACCGGTCTAGTTGGTTTTGATCAACAAGGAAAACGTAGCCATTTTCGTTTACATTTAATGACAATCACAAGACAAGGACTTCAAACTGTAAGTTTTAATAATGTGAAACAATCATTTTTTTTTTTTTTGTTTGTTATGGCAATTTCCGTTTTCGATCCAAGAAAAAAAAACGGAAACGGAAAATCATTTTTCTGCTCCATAAATTATCAACATTGAACGATGATGATGATTATGATTACAATGTCGATTTTGAATCAAATGAAGATTCAAAAAAAAACATTCAGATTTTTTTTTCTGTCTGTGTTCATTCAATTAGAAAAAAAAAATGAAAATGAAAATCATCATCATCATCAATGTCTGCTGTTGATGATCATCATTATTGAATGTCTGTGCGTATAGAAAGAATTGCCGGCAAAAAAAAATAAAAATAAAATAAATAAAAATCCGGAATGATTCTTGTTGAAACCATGAATTCGAAATGGACATTGTTTAAACTCAAAGAAAAAACAATAACAACAACAACAACAATCGACTGGGCAAAAATAGACGAAATAACTTGTTTCTAACATTCTTTCGATTGTTGTTGTTGTTGTTGTTGTTTTTTCTGGAATATAGCTCTGTTCCAAAAATCCCTTTTATTTGGATTTTGGACCATTGGTATATGTATAGAGAGAGAGAGAGAGAGATTAGTTTTTTTATATTAAATCGAAGTGGTCAGCAATGGCAGCAGCAGCAGCATCTGTAAAACATGTTTTTTTTGGTGAAAATTTCAAATGATCAGTATAATGAAGATATAGATCATTTCGGTGAGATTCAAACACACACACACACACACACACACATTTGAGATATTGAATTGATTTTCTGTTTATCCGTTTGAATGTTTTTTTTTCTTGGTTTATTTACCCGGATTCTTCTGGTTAATGTTTATACATTGCTGAATTCATCGGCCAAGTAATTCTGATTTTTTTTTTTTTTTTTTTTTTTTACTACTGATGATTATTGTTGCCAAGCTAAGCAAAAACTTATTTTTTTTTTTTTGGCTTAACAACAAACTTGGTGGAAAGCAAGCAAAAGAAAAAAAAAAAAACATTAAACAACATCCACAAAACAGCAACAAAATATTAATGACAACATATATAAAAAAAAATTCCTTTGAGAATTCTGTTTGTGGAGAGAGAGAGAGAGAGAGTGAAAAAAATCAAAGAATCGAAAAAAAAGCCAATAATTTAGTTCGACATTCTTTCAATTTTTGTTTTGATTTTTCTATTCGATTCACATTTGATTTATATTTTATGAGATGAAAAAAAAAATTTTAACGAATTTTTTCCAGACATTTCATTCTACAATCGATTCTATCGATAAAATCTCGGCCATCCTATGTGATTCGATTTTTTCGTTTGAATTTTTTTTGTTTTCATTTTTTTTAATTTTTTTTTTTGTGTTCTGAAAACTTTTGTTCTTTTGGCAAATTTTTTTTTCATTTCATTTCACCGATTTTCATTAATGGCCCGGCATCATTAATATTTATATATATCACATGTGTGTGTTAGTGTGTATATAGTGCAGCATGTTACCAATTTCAATCGTTAATATAGCATCATTATGGATGAAAAATATCGAACGAACTGGATAATTTTTTTTTTGCATTTTCTATTTCTTTGTTTTTGTTTTCATTTTCTTCACTATATAATAATGAACATATATAGATGATGATGGCTCCATTTTGTGTGTGTGGAGATTGTCTATTTTGTAGTAGATTTTATTCAAAATGATGATGATGATTATGTGATGATTGAAACATTTTATATTATATGTAGATTATTTCATTATCAATCAAAACTTTTTTCCGTAGTAGAAAAATCCTTACTTTACTTTGGATCCAATTTCGTTGAAATTGGATCAAAATTTTAACGATCATCTGGCCAGAATATAATGATGAGCCACAAAGACCATATGCTACTGCTCAACATCATAGTCATCATCATAATCATGCACAAATTGATTTTCTTTTCCATTTCTTTTAATAATTCGAACAAGTAGAGAATGCAGAATGGTGAAGATTCAAAAGAAAAGAAAAGAAAAGAATGAATGAATGAATGAATGGAAAAAGATGTATTGTTTAGCCGGAAATTATAAAATTTCGGTTTCTTCATTTTACCAATTCTCTTGGGGCCATTTTTTCTTTCATTCTCATTCATCTTGGTCCACATTTTCAATCCAATAATAATTTGTTCTTTTGTTGTTGTTACTGATTTTCTCTGTCTTTTTTCATTCATTCGTTCATTCATTCATTTATTTACGTCATTTATGAATGAGAATCGAATTTAACAACGCAGAAGCAGAGATCAAAAAAATCAGAATCAAAATTCATTGCAAACAAAATCAGAAATTATTTGCTTAGCTTTGTGTTTTATTTGAAATTCGCTAATCCGTAATTTTCAACACATTCGGAAATTATTTATCTATAATATTTGACAATCAAAAACAACGACAACAACAACAACAACAACAAATTGCTGACTATTGAAAATCATCATCTGATCTATTAATCATCATTATCATCATTATCGATTTGATAGATGAAAAAAAAGCAAAATTTTATTCCAGTTCCATGGATCACAAATGAATGAATACAACATAATATGTGATTCTGTTTACATTCTGGTTTTGGATTGTTGATACAAGAATTCTTCAAACGGCTCAATTATAACAATTTTTAAAGTCCTTTTCTCTCATGTGATGAGTTTGTTTTTGTATTGATCGATATTGATTCTGTTTTTGAAAATTTAAAAATTTTCACAAAAATCCATTCATTTGGATTTCGATACAGTTAGTTAGTTTTTGTGTGTGTGTGTGTGTTCCATTTTATGGAACCATATGTGATTCTTGTCAAAAAAAAAAAATGAAATCAATATAACAACAACAACAACAACTACAACACACAGTAGTGGCTTTTTTTCTGTGTTTCAAGTAATTTACAAAAGTCACACCAACAGACAAAAACACACACACACACACAAAGATCTTCTTCCACAAGAATTGTGATTGAATTTATTATTCAAAAAAAAAAAAATAGAAAGAAAATTCTTTGAATAATGAATAATTCTGTATGTGGCAAACAAAAAAAAAATCTGTGAAAAGGATATTTTCGTTTGATTTCTTCTATTTTTGTCTACATGAGAATAATTTCATTTTCATTACGAATAGAAAAAAAATAACAAGATAACAAAAATGAAATGAAATGAAATGAAACGTGAACAACAACAGAAACCAACCAGCCAACCAACCAACCAACCAACCAACCAACCAACCGACCAACAACAACATCAACAATCGCTGAAAATCATAGAAAGAATTAATACAGAACAAGCCGAACAAAAAAAAATTAGATAAGACCAAGAATTTGCATGTGAACATCATCATCATCATCAACATTCTAGTAAATGAATGTATCATACACACACACACACACACGATGCTGCTGATATGATCGACTTATTCTTCTTCTTAACCATTCATTAAAAAAATTCTGCAGAATTCTTTGAAAATGTAAATTATCATCTCATATTTAAAGGACACAGATGTTTTCGTCATTGTTTTCATATATTCATTTCAAATTATATTAAATGTAGAAAAAGATTTATTCTTTTCAATGCAAGAGAACGATTCAATTTGTTACAATAATGGCAGCAATTTTTTTTTCTTATCGATTGTAAATGAACAATAATCTCAATTTGAATTTGGATTCTCTTTTGGATTTGTTTTTTTGGATTCGATAAATAATGTTCATAAGTAGTGGCAACAACAGCATCAGTAGTGGTGGTAGTGTGTATGAATCAATTTATTTCGTTTCTGTCCATTCATTTGGTCATCAACAACAACAACAACAACGTAGCCAAAGCGGATATGTTTTTGTTGTTGTTGTTGTTGTGGTGATGATGATTCTTCTGGCTTTTGTTTTCTCCGTTTCCTGTTGTCAAATTATCATTATTATTTTTCCGTTATTTCAACTAATGATGTTTTTTTTTTTTTTTTATTTCACAGGTTGGTTCCTGGGATCGTAATGAATTGGCATATAAACGATTGAAAATTAAACCAGAATGGCAATCAACATTTCAGATTGGAACATTGGAAAATAAAACATTACGTGTAACGACCATATTGAATGATCCATATTGTATGTATACAGAATCATCGGAAACAAAAATCGGTAATGAACGTTTTGAGGGTTATATTATTGATCTGGTTGAAGAATTATCAAAACTACTTGGTTTTAAATATATATTTAAACTCGTTGATGATGGTGTTTATGGTACAAATGAAAATGGTGAATGGAATGGTCTTATTGGTAAGTATTAAATTGGTTCTCTGTGTGTGTGTGTGTGTGTTTATTGAAGTGATTCTCTCCTCTTATCATCAAGTGATTATTGAAACAAATGGCCAAATATAAACTTGAAAAGTGAACGATACAAACAAAACACACATTTGATGAAAAATTAAGCAAAACAAATGATGATGATGATGATGATGATGATGTTAAAGAAGAATATTTCTCATTTACACGCAATTCTGTATGTGTGTGTGTGTGTGTGTGTTTCTGAATTATTTATTCAATTGACTCAATGTTTTGTTTGATTCATTGCATGATAACAATACATTACATTACATTATCCATCAAAACACATTACTACTACATTAATAGTTGAAAAATCATCATTTGTTTACGATTGTGGAATGAAAATCCATCCTTAGAAAAAAAAACAAGAAACAGAAACAGAATCCAATAAGAAAGTTTTCAATGTTCACCAAGCAATGATCTTGATGATGATGATGATGATGATGATTAAGTTTGTAATCGAAATGAATTCAAGGAGCAAAAAAAAATTGAAACTTTTTGTTTGTTTGTTTGTTTGAGAGAAAGAATTTCTTGAATTCTCAAATGAATCGTTTAAATGAATTAATTTTTTTTGACCATTTGTTGTGTTTTGTTTTGTTTTTTTTAAGGAAGGTGAAGTAATCAAGAAAAAAGCTGATATTGCTGTCGTTGATCTGACAATTACATCGAAACGTGCCGAAGCTGTTGATTTTACTTTGGTTTGTTTGTTTTTGTTTATTTATTTATTTGTTCGATTATTGATTGATTGATTAATAATGAATTTTAATGTTTACTGTTTTCATATTCATTTTATTTTATAGCCTTTTATGAATACAGGAATCAGTATTCTGTTTAAAAAACCAACCACCAAAGTGACCACATTATTTTCATTTTTATCACCATTATCCAGTACTGTTTGGTGTTATGTATTGGCCGCTTATGTTGGTGTGTCCACTGTATTGTTTTTTGTTGGCCGTATGTCACCATATGAATGGGAGAATCCAAATCCATGTAGAGAGAATGATGGTGTACTTGAAAATAATTTTTCACAGCTCAATAGTTTTTTCTTTACAATTGGTTCATTAATGCAACAAGGATCAGATTTAGCGCCCAAGTAAGTATTGGTTTGTTTGTTTGTCTAAAGTATCTAGTGTATATGATAAATGGGATAAATTTCAATTCTGGTTTTTTTTTTTTTGTTTAAATACAGAGCAATGTCCACTCGTACAATTGCTGGTCTTTGGTATTTTTTTACATTAATCATGATATCATCATATACAGCTAATTTAGCTGCATTTTTGACAGTGGAAAAAGTTATCTATCCAATAAAAGATGCTGAAGATTTATCCAAACAAACAACAATTGAATATGGCTGTCTGAATAGTGGTTCAACAAAAGCATTTTTTCGTGAATCAAATCTATCAACATTTAAACGGATGTATGAATTTATGAAATCACGTCCACATGTATTTATGGCTAAAAATGAAGATGGTCGTAAACGTGTTGAAAGAGGCAATTATGCTTATCTAATGGAATCGGCTAGTATTGAATATATTATCGAAAGAAATTGTAATCTAACACAGATTGGTGGCTTATTAGATACAAAAGGTTATGGTATTGCAACAAGAAAACGTGAGTATAATATATAAATATAATATAAACCCTGTATTGTACATGATGTTGTTGCGGACAAAAAAAACATCATCATCATCATCATCATTGATGTATGACGTTTCATTGACCAATCGATTCATCATCCAATCCATTGTCCATTTTAAATGAGAATTTTTTTTTTTTTTTTTTTTCTCTCATTGAATTACTATTATTATTATTATTTAGGATCAAAATATCGTAACCTATTATCGGAAGCGATACTAAAATTACAAGAATCTGGTCGTTTATTAGAATTGAAAGAAAAATGGTGGAAACAGAAAAAAGGCGGTGGACAATGTATTGATGATGCAAAAAAATCATCATCATCTGTAACGGCATTAAAAATGGACAATGTGGGTGGTGTATTCGTTGTATTGATTGGTGGCCTTGCATTAGCATTCTGTTTGGCTTTATGTGAATTTTGGTTTCATGCAAAAACTCCACATAAAGCTTGTGTAAGTAATATAAGATAAGATTTTCTCATATCTTTTTTTGTTGTTTCTAAATTATTAATTCTTTTTTTTTTGTTGTTGTTGTTGTTGCCAATATATTTAGGATGTTGTTTGTGAAGAATTGTCAAAAGATTTAAAATTTGCAATGATGTGTCAAAGTAAAACGAAACCAAATCGTGATCCATCACCAAGATCAAGATCATTATCATCATCTACTGAATCATATAATACAGTATTGTCACCGAATAATAATGGTATTATTGGTGCTACTGCCATTATCAATAATTTGCATACAAAAAATCAACAAATATCATCATTATTGTTAACTCAAACACCAACATTAGGCCAAATGCATCATTCAATTTCACAGTATTCTAATTGTCAGATTCTTACAACAGGACCATCAACAAATCAACCATCACAATTACTGCCATTATTTCAACAACAACAGCAACATCAACAACAACAACAACAACAACAATCATCATCATCAACAACAGAATTACAATCACCAACATCTATAACTCATTTACGAACACCATCCATAACAAATAACAATGGAACAACATTAGCTGAACAAATCGAGCTTGAAATGGAACATCAGCAGCAACAACAACAAAGACGAGGGCAGCTAATTCTGTAAAATACAAGAAATAAATAAGCAAAAAAAAAAATCGAATGATTTATCCATTGAATTTGATTGAACATTTAACAATTCCATTTTAAAACACAGATAAAAGTTCTTTGGACACATTATGAAAATAATGATCACATTGAACTTTGAAATTCTGTTCTCTTTTTTTTATTGTTGTTGTTGCCGAGATCATTCATGTGTGTTTCTGGTGATTTTCTTTCGAAGAAATTATTTGTTCCAAAAAAATAAATTCCGAATTATATAAAGACGACGACGCCATCTAGTGGATGCGATTCAAATTGTTGATATGAAAATAAAAAAAATTTTACAATGAAACAAAAAAAAAAAAAAATTTTTCGTTGGTTTCTTTGTTCATTAATCATTGGAAATCCCACCACCACCACCACTACTAATGATCTGTGTGTGTGTGTGTTCATTTCATAAATTCGATTGATTGATTGATTGAAATTTGATTTCTTGAATCATAATTGAATTTCATAAAGGAAAAAAAATGAACAAATTGAAAACAATGATTAACGAACAAAATTCCTCGTTAATAATAAGAAAAATTTGAAAATAAATTCAATTCTTGCTTGATTATCCAGCTGAATGATTGGAATTTCTATCTGTCTCTGTGTGTGTGTGTGTGTCTGTAGATAATGATTGACCATCTCGGGAGAAAAATGGCAAGAATCGACTTTCAATCTCTGTCTGTCTCTCTATCTTGATTCATCATCCATTATAATTAGGAATGAAACTATTGATTTGATTGCGAAACAAAAACAAAAACGACAATGACGACGACGACTACAACGACGAAAAGAATTCCAATTATTTTTTGATTATACCTGAATCAAAAAAAAAAAAAATAAATAAAAGAAAAGAAACTAATAATCAGATAAAAAGTGGAAAAATAACAAAAATTTAAAAAAAAAATTCTGTCAGAAAACAAAAAAAAAAAAATTCTGCAACTTTTATTCCATCACCATTCTTTCTCTGTCTCTATCTCTCTCGTGGGACTGATTCGTCATCATTACGAAATGAAAAAAAAAATTCTCAATTTCTCCCTGAAAAATCTTTTTCAATTTCAAGTTTGTCTTTTTTTTCACGTTGAAATCAAAATCTCATAACCATTCGTGTAATAATCATGTATAGAACAACAGGCAATAATTATGCAAATTTTTTTTTTTTTTTTACTGTTTATCAAATTCAAATACTAAACATTCAACAAGCACACGCCAATCATAGCCTAAGCACTCGGGATACAGTTACCAATGCTTAAATATTATTTACCGTTATAAATTTGAAAATCTTGTTCACACACACACACACAAAAAAATGATCGCTTAAATTGCTACAGCATCAAGGATGTTATTACATTTTTCCAAAAAATCTTTGTAAATAGAGTGTGTGAAACCAATACTGTTTGATAACATTGAATTTTTATTGTCGATGACGATGTTGATGATGATTTTCGTTCATATCCATTACGCGCACATCCATGGATATACAATTAGTGTTTGTGTGTGTGTGTGTGTGTGTCTGTCATGTTTGCATCCGTCATAGTGTGGTTTTCAAGTTTGTTTGTTGATTTTTTTTTCTCTCTCTCTCTTTCTCTCAACGATGTTAACGATGATGATGATGATGATGATGATGATGGTGATGAGAAGGAAAAAAAATTGAAATTGAAATTCAAAAAGAAAAGAAAAAAAAAACAGTAAATGTTGTCTGTTCGTGTGTGTGTGTATCATTTTTTTTTTTGCATCATTCATCCATTCGTTCTCACTTATAACACTTTTATTTTCATTTTTTGGCTCATTCTATAGTTACACACGTTACTTTTACGTTTTCATTTCGTTTTGTTTCGTTTCGTTTTGTTTTTTGTTGTTGTTGTTGTTGTTGTTTAATATTTTTTTTCCTCAATATACTGACACATGTGTTGAAATGAAACAACAACAACAAAAAAAATTGCTCATTATCATTGATCATCATCATCATCATCAAATAATAATCACATCCTTTATTTAAGTTTTTGCCGGCCAATCACTGGATATTTTCCAGATCAAAAAAAAAAAAAAAACCCGTTTACCCAATTTGTGTGTGCTTGCGTGTATGTAAGTTTGTGTCAAAATAGACATTCATAAATATGATAATGGTACCCGAAAAGTTCATTACCCATTCATTCATTTTGACATTCAAACCACCGAACCCGTAACCAATAACAATGTGTGTGTGTGTGTGTGTGTGTATGTTACACACACAAATACGCGCGCGCACATCTTCATTTTGGAACACTTTATATTCAACTCATCGGTTGTTTTGTATAGATGTGTGTTTGGAACTTTGGATCGATTTTTGGACTCTTTGAACCATATACCCCCTCTCTCTCTCTCTCTCTTTTTACTTGTTTGTGACTTATCGGTTCGCTACTACCCAATGTATGCGACATTTAATACCCGTATACATTCAAATAGAATCGACCGTTCCAACAACAACAACAACAACAATTTTGATTTTATGAAAAAACTAACCCGTATAATTCCATTACTACTACTACTACTACTACTATTGCTACTACTACCATCGCAGTAGGTATATATATATAGGAAAAAATGACAGGAATTCTAGAATCTAGAATATTACTATGGATCACTAATAAATTATTTTTTTTTGTTTCCTACCACTACTTCCATTATTATCATCATCATCATCATTTTTTTTTGCTTAACTTTATCGAATCATGTCTATTTATGAATTCCCGATTCTTTGTGTGTATGTATTATATATATCTGTATTAGCGACAAACTCAAATGCACACACATACACACAGAGCATCTATGGTTTGGGTAGCTGGAACCGATTTTATTCTTGATAAAACATAGCAATATTGTAGAAATAATAATGGTGGAACAAAAAAAAAATAGGGCCACCATACCACACAGATTATGTATGTATATGATGAACCAGAACGATCCAGAATAACGCCAACATACACACGAATACACACACACAGAACAAAAACACAATGATGCTACTCTCATATTACTAAACAAAACAAAAAAAACTTTTGGAATTTTCATTTTGTTTCATTATTAAAACCAACGAAAGAAAACGACGAGAGAGAGAGAGAAAAAACATCCAAATAGAATCAATATATATATATATATACATAACGGTCGTGTCCATTTTTTTCTTCATATCAAATCTATCATTCTGTTTGCTCGGTGTGTGTGTATATATATGTTTTGGAACCGAATAAAGAATCCGGTAATTCTATTTTCAGCTTTTTATCTTTTTTTCTCATTTTCACTGTTTGTGTGTGTGTGTGTGTGTTTGTTTGTGTGTTATTTACTCATTGATTGTTGGTTTATATTATCACAAAAATAAAAAAAACAAAACAAAAATGAAAACGAAAACGAAAAAATTGCATTTGTTTGTATTTGTTTTTGTGTGATATTCAAGTGTCATTTTTTTTTTTTTGTTCTCAAGAATTATAAAACAGTTATATTATGACACACACACACACACACAGATTGCTGGATGAAATTTAATGACCAAGAGATATATATCATGATTATTATCATTGTGAATTGAAACAATTTTTTTTTCACCACAAAAACAAAAAACAACAACAACAACAACAACAACCTAATTTGGTAAGTAGGTGTGTGTGTGTGTGTGTGTTGTATTTGGTTATTTTTTTCTCGTTTCATTAACATCAATTTTTCAATGTTTTGTTGATGTTTACAAAACCAAAAAAAAAAAAAAAAAAAAAAATTTGCCTTCATTTTGTTTGAGTAATTTTTTTTTTTTCTTCTTATTTCATTGAATATTCTGTATGTGTTTCGGATATTCGTAATCCAAGCTTTGCTTTGAAAATATGAGTGCACGCATACACACACACACACACACACAGAATGGTCCTTGTTGTTATTCAAAAGTTATTTTTTTTCACCATTCAATGAAGCAATGTGTGTGTGTGTGTGTGTGTGTTTATGTCTTGATGGTTGGTTGGTTGGTTGTTGTTCGTTCGTAGTAATTTTATTTTTAAATTTACATTTTTTTTTCATTTGGTTATTTATAAATTTTTTTTTTGCATTTTTTCTTCTTTTTTTTACGTCGCTTGTTGTTGTTGTTGTTGATGTTGTCGTTGATGATGTTGTTGATGTTTTTGTTTTTGTTTTGGTTTTAGGTGTGATGATGTTTGTGTGTGTGTGTGTGTGTGGGTGTGTATTTTTTACATTTTAATGTGTGAAAATGTAACATTAACGATATATTTGTATTGTAATTGTGGTTTTTTTAATATTTTTTTTTTTCTTTTTCTTTTTCTAACGATCATAAATGGTTGATGATATATGACAAATATGATGACAACTTTAAAGAACGAACGAAAAAAAAAGAAACGCAAATGATGATGATGACGGCGATGGCGATGATTCGATAATCGATGATGGTCCAATAAATGGATTGATTGAACCAAAAACGGAAAAAAACTAAACGATGGTCATTTGTTTGCTGGAAGAATCACACACACACACTCACACAAGCATACACACACACACACAGAGGTAGGTTCCAATTTCATACGAATTACCATTATTCAATGCATGAATTTTTGTTTTTTTTCATTTCTTCATCTTTTTGAAACTTTTTCTTTTCTTTTTTTTACTTGTGATGAATTTAATATAATAAGCTGTTGTTGCGCATGCGTTGTTCGATTCATCAACGATTTAGGCTTTTTCCAAATTTGAAAATTGAATAAGAAAAAATTCCACATTTTTCAAGTTAAAGAAAAAGAGATTCTAGAAAAGAGAGGAAGAAACAAAAAAATTTTTATAATTGGCATTCATATATATAATCATTTTTGACGTATTGAAGATTTATGAAAATTTATTACCAAACAAAAATGACATTTCCTATACGTTCATGATGATGATGATATGATGATGATGATGATGATGATGATGTGCACTTCAGTTTCATTTAAAACTTCTTCTTAGTCATTCAGTTAGTTAGTTTGTTT